CGTGATACTGAGATTATGGTCGCGTTAAGGACGAGTTATGGTGATGAAGCACGACAATGATGCGGCCGTGACGACTCAAAGACGAATGCATCAATGACAATCGGATCCATCCGTCAGTGTCAGTGACGTCACACACAATAACTAATATTATCATCATCAATGTCGGGACAGTCCTTTGTTGAATGAGTATAACCATCATAAGTTACTGATACGATGAGGGTGATTAACGATTGATACATGTATAAGCCTTCATTGTGATTGAGGAGACATCGTAGGGGAGGGAGTGCATGACGGTTTCCCGATACCCTAATTTCTTTAACCCATTTCTTATTCAGTCAATACAGATTCATATATATCTACCTATATTTATTACTAGCTGGGCGTTGGGGAACAAATTAAATTTAGTAGATGCACACTAAAACACAGAAAATATAGTTCTTGTATAATTTACATCTGAATCTCCGTGTTTACAACATAGATACATTGATAGTTTACAGAGAAATCACCCACGTGACTGCTTGTAATGAGTTTCAGCCCTGGATTCGCTTGTAATTATTATCCTTGATCTGTCAGTACCATGTCCCGATGTGGAGCTTCTAAACGGGTTTCGTTACATCCGGAAATATAATATAGTCAATACAATAAATCCTCATTTATTGTTAAATGTGTAAACAACGGGATCATTATAAACATTGCCGGTGTTCATTGAGAAGTTCGATTTGAACACCATATTTGGAAAGAGTGTTCTCCTGAACATGTCTAAAATATAACAAAACTGAATCAAATTCATTCATTGTTTGACGTCAGTATACAACAAACATTCGTTTATCTGGATCCTCTCAGTATGGACAGATCTCCCACCGGACGGACTTGCTTGGAACGACTTACTCAACATACAGCACAATAATAACTTTACACATGGTTAGTTAATCTGGAACTTCTTTAATCCGGACGAATACGCAAGAAATGGTGCGTCCTGATTAAGAAAGGTTTCCTTGCGATAATTTGAAGAGTCTTAAGTCCCTGAACTTAGAAATTACTCATGTTCATGGAGTCTTGTCTTATCTGGAGTTTGGTATTTACTATTCCTTCGGTTTCTCTGGAAAAAAACTGTTTGGTGAAAATACTTGATCCTTCCATAAGCAGCTTCTTTCTTCTGTATATCCCTTGATGACATCCCCGGGGGTGAGTGGTTCATTCAGGTGATATACATTGATCATGACCTACAGTGATCCGTCATCTATACCACTACATCATACCGACAAAGAGTACGTTGTTACTTCTTGTGGGTCTGTGGTTGTATTGTTCCTCGACATTAATATCTTTATACTCTCTGTCGACATTTCTGGGTCACGCTTGTTGCGCACGACAAATTTTACTTTTATTTTGACAAGTACCCGACGGAAGTTCCTGTAGAAATGTTGAGAGTACGTTCCTTTGTGTAGCAAAGCTGATCAGGAATGTTCGACAATACGAAAATGCAGGTTGAGCACGTTGAGCACATTGAGCATTTTCTTACAAAATCACAGACTGTCTTTTCCAAAGATGTTTCCTGTATCTCAGTATTATGCGCTGTTGAACGGTGGAGACATGAGGCCCACTGTTAGAACCACGCATGCCTCGCGGTGCCTGGGGGTCACACGACATCGTGCGTGGCTCTGTAAGGGGAGGTATTATTTATTGTGCATCAGTCAGGGCAGAGCCAGACCGTGACTGTGGTGGAGATGTTTTGCGAAGTAATATACACAACCTATGACCTTCACGTTGTATTCTTTTCAGAGAACCCAGTGTTCATGTTTTCATTAGTACCCCTGAGCTACTAAATCAGAAATAAGCTCGACAGCAGACAGAGAAAATACTTCAGTGGTACAGCCTTTCACCTTTTTACAGATCGCTCCCTCAGACCGTCCATAGTTTTGTGTACACCAGCAATGAGTCACATAAAGAACACTTTAACCAATGAAGATATAACCGTCCATTTCTTCATCTTATTATTAGTTATATTATTTACAGTAGTAGTAGTAGTAGTAGTAGTAGTAGTAGTAGTAGTAGTTGTTGTTGTTGTTATTGTTGTTGTTGTTGTTGTTGTTGTTGTTGTTGCTGTTGTTGTTGTTGTTGTCAATCAATCTCCACGGATATTGCTGAGTGCGGCGTTAACCAACAAACCAAACCCTAATGTCCGCCATGATGGCCACCATGGACCCTCTCGCCACCAGTTCTTCGTTTCTCTCCTATCCATAACTTAGTATGAATTTCTTTTGGGTGATCTGATTGGACGACTTCAATCGAATCGGACTCCGAAGTGAGCTGTGGAAGGGAATGGGTTGAGACTGGTTATCCTAACAGAGATACACTGAATGTGTACAACAGAGTGGCGTTGAGACTGGTTATCCTAACAGAGATACACTGGACGTGTACAACAGAGTGGCGTTGAGACTGGTTATCCTAACAGAGATACACTGGACATATACAACAGAGAGGTGTTGAGACTGGTTATCCTAACAGAGATACTCTGGACGTGTACAACAGAGTGGTGTTGAGACTGGTTATCCTAACAGAGATACACTGGACGTGTACAACAGAGTGGTGTTGGGACTGGTTATCCTAACAGAGATACACTGGGCGTGTACAACAGAGTAGCGTTGAGATTGGTTATCCTAATAGAGATACACTGGACGTGTACAACAGAGTGGTGTTGAGACTGGTTATCCTAACAGAGATACACTGGACGTGTACAACAGAGTGGTGTTGAGACTGGTTATCCTAACAGAGATACACTGGACGTGTACAACAGAGTGGCGTTGAGATTGGTTATCCTAACAGAGATAACTGGACGTGTACAACAGAGAGGCGTTGAGACTGGTTATCCTAACAGAGATACACTGGACGTGTACAACAGAGTGGCGTTGAGATTGGTTATCCTAACAGAGATAACTGGACGTGTACAACAGAGAGGCGTTGAGACTGGTTATCCTAACAGAGATACACTGGACGTGTACAACAGAGTGGCGTTGAGATTGGTTATCCTAACAGAGATACACAGGACGTGTACAACAGAGCAGTGTTGCTGTTCTCTGACGGTTGTGATATCACTCTCTAAAAAAGACACACGGCCTTTTCAGTGTTCTTTTCTCGATTAATCGTTCGCCAGGTTGTAGCTATATTGTATGTTTCAGAGGAAGGTATGCAGCTTGACATGTAACGTTGCGTCTGTGTGGCATGTACCAGTGGGAGGGGCCTTTACATAGTCCTTGAATATTCAGTGTACCTCCAGGCAGTTACATTCACTCGTCAAGGTCATTAGCTACAGCACATGCGCATTTTGCTTGGCCTTGCAGGCGTGCATTTCATATTAAATGCAGTCGGACAAGATACAAGCGTGTTTGATGTATGGCCGTAAACAAGCTGTACAGCCTAACATGTTAGGAAAGTCTTAAGTCACGCAAGTCAGATGTTTGCAATCCAAGCACGATGGCATTGTATTTCGACCCGAAGCCGGATCCTGACACTGTTAAGGGACGCGACTAAGGGCAACGGATTTGTCCCTCCTTAAGCGGCGTTCACACGGCAAACTAAAGTTTGACAACACTCAATTTTCAGAGTGTGAACATTCTAACAACTCGCCACCAACACCAATTTCAGAGTTGTCAAACTGTTGTCGAGAAATAGTATCGGTCTCTATATTCACCAACTTTTCCATCAAACTTTTGGTGTTGTCAATCGCGTGTTGTTCAGAAACAACCAATCGCAGTCAACCAAATCGTCACCTGGCCGCACCGATAGAGACATGGCGCTCAAATGACACGAATGTTTTGCAACATGTGTTTGACAATTTTTAAAATTCCAACAACGTGTGTCGTCAAACTTTAGTTTGCCGTGTGAAGGCCGCTTTAGACAGAAGGGTTTCCCCTGACTCACATTATTTTGAATGTTACAAAGTACAGCAAAGTTCCAGCTTATGGCTGCCTCAGATATATGACCAGTATTGTAAATGAATCTACCAGGTAGGTCTGTGTATGAACATATAAAAACAACATCCAATTGGTTTGTCCGGAAGTAAATAGATTTGAATTACGCGTTACATCCTGATGTTGACGGGAAGCATTCCTTGTGTCAGGCACGTCTAGGGCTCTCTCTCTCTCTCTCTTACAAATGAGATCCTTCACATGCCAGCACGGTAAAGTACGTCTCTTTAGACTGCTACACTAGCAAAGATATAGAAGATAAACAGAGATATTTTGGATGGTGACGTCCTGTCTTTCTCAGGTACCTAAAGGAATGGTAGGGGTGAGATAACGCTACCTTGGCCAGTATTTCAGGTGAGGTCTTGTCTTTCTCGGGTACCTAAAGGAAAGGTAGGGATGAGTTAACGCTAGCTTGGCCAGTATTTCAGGTGACGTCTTGTCGGCTTCATGTGGCTGTACACCAGCGTCATGTATAATACTGTAGGTTTGATTAAACCTGGCGTCAGTGAGTACTTGATGTGTTAGAGTTGTTCCTCTCCCCAAACCAACATCACACCACACGCCACACGCCACACGCCACACGCCACACGCCACACCCAACGCAAGCTTCCCAATACCGAATATCGGTGGGATACCATAGTTAGAAAAGTGTACATTTGCCACGGTGAATATGCGAGTAGAGAGTTTGAGAGTAGAGAGTTTGAAACCCATACTTTGTTTCCCTAGCTTTGATATGGCAAACATAATCTTAATAGCGGTGCAAACTCTCTCGCTCATATTCTGCATTGAAGTCAGCACCACCCCGGGCTTAAGACAAACAAACAAATACATGAATAAAAAACAAACTAAATATATAAAAAATATATCATAAATATTTTGCTATATATGTTTGTCTGCTTTTGTTAACATGACCTCATTTGCCAACAAAATTTAATTATACATTTGTATTTACCTTATGGCATATATTCTAGTACAATTATAGAAAATGTATATATGTAGAAAACCCATATTTATTTGTGAGCATGTCTGTTACAGCCTGGGCCCTCTGCCGGACTCCCCGCCCCCACTGATCCCTATCGACCACCAGCGATGTGTGGCTTTGAAGAAGGAGACCAGCCTCGTGAAGGTCCCCGTGCCCTATTTCTGCCACCCCCGGGACATGACAGGAATCCCTCTCCCAAAAGTGGTCAGCCCTGACATCACTCTGATGATCATGAGGCTGCAATGGTCAGTAGATCTCATTATAGAAGGCCTTCAAACAGCGGCGGTACAAACTCACGTAATTGTTGTACGGGCTTTAGTAGTAGTAGTAGTAGTAGTAGTAGTAGTAGTAGTAGTAGTAGTAGTAGTAGTAGTAGTAGTAGTAGTAGTAGTAGTAGTAGTAGTAGAGTAGTAGTAGTAGTAGTAGTAGAAGTAGTAGAGTAGTAGTAGTAGTAGTAGTAGTAGTAGTAGTAGTAGTAGTGGTAGTAGTGAGTAGTGGTAGTAGTAGTAGTGGTAGTGGTAGTAGTAGTGGTGGTAGTGGTAGTGGTAGTAGTAAGTGGTGGTGGTAGAGTGGTGGTGGTAGTGGTGGTGGTGGTGGTGGTGGTAGGTGGTGGTGGTGGTGGTGGTGGTAGGTAGTGTGGTGAGTGGTGGTGGTGGTGGTGGTGGTGTGGTGGTGGTGGTGGTGGTGGTGGTGGTGGTGGTGGTGGTGGTGGTGGTGGTGGAGTGGTGGTGGTGGTGGTGGTGGTGGTGGTGGTGGTGGTGGTGAGTGGTGGTGGTGGTGGGAGTGGTGGTGGTGGTGGTGGTGGTGGTGGTGGTGGTGGTGGTGGTGGTGGTGGTGGTGGTGGAGTGGTGGTGGTGGGTGGAGTGGTGGTGGTGGTGGTGGTGGTGGTGGTGGTGGTGGTGAGTGGTGGTGGTGGTGAGTGGTGAGTGGTGGTGAGTGGTGAGTGGTGGTGAGTGAGTGGTGGTGGTGGGTGGTGAGTGGTGAGTGGTGGTGGTGGAGGTGAGTGGTGGTGGTAGTGGTGTGGTGGTAGTGAGTGGTAGTGGTAGTAGTAGTGTAGTAGTAGTAGTAGTAGTAGTAGTAGTAGTAGTAGTAGTAGTAGTTGTTGTTGTTGTAAATGTTAACCTAATGTAAAGCTTGAACATAACAGTAAACCCTGCTTCTTCCCAAGGAGCGGCTACAGGATGTGCACCCGTCAGATAGCGCTGCCCACCCACAGATACGTCCCCGTGCCGGTGTGCTGCCCAGGTTGGAGGAGAAGTCCCTCAGGGAAGTGCGATATACGTGAGTGAAGTAACGTTCACCTTCACCATCACTCGAGTCATTCCAGGACAAGCCGAACAGCGGCTCATGCCCAGTGTAAACATTTAAGTGAATTGGTTCAGTCTTAGTTTATCATGTCCACAATCAGTTTTTGTAACATTATATATATAATTTTTTTTCTGAATATAACACGGCCGACATTTACAACCACTTGTTCAGTATGGCAGCTGTCAGTGTCACTTCTGTGCAATTGTACACAAACAGCTATACCAATAAATAACATAAATAAATGAGGGATTATTTGACCCAATTGCCTATAATCATAAACGCATTCTGATTGGTTTGTCGTGATTATAGCACGTATTTTATTGATAGGGGAACGAGTCTTGCATTTTCAACAGACCTATGTTGTCAGTCTCTGCCTCACGGTGTTTCTCTCAATGTGGAATCCAAGCAATGTTTTTGGACAACAACTGTTTGTTATCCTGCACATAGAAACAAATAGATCTGTTGTTAAAATACCTAACTCCAAGTTTACTATTTAAACCTTTTCTGAAACAAAAAATCCAAGCCTCCCAAACCTAGAGTATCAGATGGTTGGCTTCCTTAAACAACAACAGTAGCAATGTCTTCTGACTCTGGAATCCCAGTAATACCTCATATTATCTCCCAGTAATACCTCATATTATCTCCCCAGTAATACCTCATATTATCTCCCCGCAGCCACCAGCGTGCCTCCCCCCATCCCAGCGCGGTCCATGCCTCAATGGCGGATTCCCAAGGAAAGGCAAACATTGCTGCATCTGCCCGCCGGGTTTCTCTGGGGCCTTCTGCCAGAACAAGTCTCCCGTAGCAGCCCGGAGTCCGCTGACAAGGATGGCCCGCCCAGTGGTCCTACCCCCGATGGGGAGGCACCCAGGAGCTGCCCTTCCCCGTGGCAGACCAGACCTTCAGCTTGGTCGACTTATCAGGGAACTAGCCAGACTCTCGCCATCGGGTAGAGGTCCACTTCCGATTAATCCAACTCTGGTCAGACTCCTGATGGACCGAACGAACAGCAGGACACGGAAAACCATGAATAATGTTAGGATGGGGCTGTCACCTCGCCCCACTGTAAACACCGCCTATATCAACCAGGTCCCCCCGGGCACCAGCGTCACCCGCCAAGCCAGTGGTCAATACAGCCTATATCAACAAGGTTCCCCAGAACCCTAACCCTTATGCCCGGCCTACCGTCAACACCGCCTATATAAACCAAGTCCCTAAAAGAAGTAATGTGCCAAAGATAACACCAAACGTTGCGTATATAAACCAGCTCCCTAAACGAGATAGCACGCCCAAAATAACGCCGAACGTTGCGTATATAAACCAGCTCCCTAAACGAGATAACACACCCAAAATAACGCCGAACGTTGCGTATATAAACCAGCTCCCCAAAAGAGGTAGCACACCCAAAATAACGCCAAACGTTGCGTATATCAACCAGCTCCCTAAACGAGGTAGCACGCCTAGACTTACACCAAACGTTGCATATATCAACCAGCTCCCACAACGACAAAGGCCGGCAGTAAAGGCACCAATGAGCATTGCATACATCAACCAGTTAGTCCACCGTAGACCCACCAGAATCACGGTGAACACTGCCTACATCAACAGAGTCCGACGGCCCAGTAGCACAAACATCACACCTCCTATAAACACAGCAGCCATTAACCAGCTGCCAAAAGTGAATAGACTTCCGGTTCAGGCTCCGGCACAGACGGCATACATCAACCGCGTCCCGTCCATCCCACTGATGAGGGGGAGCCCAGTCAACACTGCGACCATTAACAGGATCCCACCCAACACCCCTCGTCCAGTGATCGCGCCTCCCGTTGTCATGCCAACCAGACTTGGAATTCCACCAATGGTGAACCCATCTGCAGTCAACCAGCTTCCTCCACGAACCCAGGAGCCAGATGTCCAGGAGCCTACAGTCAGTCCTGCGATGCCACAGTCGGACCCTACAGGAGATGCCCCAGCAAGGGCTGGAACTCACGGGAGCCCATCTCACAACGTACCTTCTATCGGTGAGTTTATCTTAGTATCATAACCTAAATGTTGGATTGCGCTGCAGATGCAGACAGTCATATTCCAGCTGTATTGGATTTCTTACAAGCCGAGTTTTGGTTTTGGTCAAGCTGGTGACAGTCTGAAATTGTATTTTGTCCGGTCATCCGACCAGCTATCTGGTACATGGGGATCGGTGTTGACCCGAAACTCCAAACATTATAGTTGGCGTTTTATCGTGGATATTTTGTGAAAGAGTTCGATGTTTGTTGCAAGTGCCCACAAATCTCCAGAAGAGGGAAATATTACTTTTGATTAGCATAATGGATCACCGCGAATAACTAAAAAAACATTGCTCTCATTCATTCAGCTATATGCTACACTACCTATGCATACTACAAAAAAGAAGAGAAGAACACCATTGTACATGACTTGAGTTGCTCTTTCATTGCCTGTGGGGTTTGCAACACACACTAAAGGGTGTTCCATGGTTCTTTGATTATCCCCAGACTGGAATACCTAGTTAAATGGAACCAACAGGGGTCTCGGCTCAGACAAATGGACAGTAGCAGATTTATCCACTCTATTGACGTATTAAGATGGCCAACATAATGTTACACTTTCACGAGTTGCGTGTGGCGGCCACAGACACACTGGGTGGTGGAGCATGGCACCTCTCAAATGCAGATGTATATGTGTGGGCTGGTATTCAGTTGTCTGAAGAAACTGATATATCTCCGCTGTGGCCATCATGGAGTGGATCTGAAGGTCGGTTGTAGAAGTTTCATTTATATTTCGGCAATGTTTCCTGTTCAGCCTCAGACCAGGAGTGTAAGCAGATCATCGAAGTAGGCGTGACGCGATGCTTCCGGGAGGCCGGCGTCCTGGCCGCCCCTGCCGACGTCTTCAATCCCCAGAAGCCGGAAGTAGCCCGAGTAATATGCAGGTAATAAGGTTTGACTTCTCTGGTGACCTGGACGTTAGTTATCGACGTGTTACATCCGGGAGCTCTTTCATCAGTTTCTTGGTTCTGAGTTGCCATGGTAACGCCCTTTGGGTAGAAGACTACTGTCAGATCTAGGTTACCTGTAGATCTCACGGCGCAAATTAGGGTAGGAAACCGAGGAGGACAACGTGTTCAGTCATAAATGAAATTTACATTTGAAACCACAAAAATATATCTCCATAATCAATATCAGGGTGAATTTAGGATTCTAACCCTTGCATGTGAGCAATTATATAACAGGCGATAGCCCTGACGATGAGAGAAAGCTCTGGACTAATGGGTTACCTGTGTCCTCTAAATATACCCGCACTTACAGTCTATAGACTGCTGAAGTGGTCATACCAAGATCTCTCCCTTAGTGTTTGTGATCAACGTTGCCATATCTGTTGCAGTCAAGGACGACGTCTAAGACCGTGCATCATGGCCGGGGAGACGGCGTGTGGGCGTGGCATGAGGGTGATCATCACACGGAGGATGCTGTCATCCCTTCTGAACGCCATGGGCAACCTCTGTGCTTTACAAGGTAACACACACACGTGGTACATACTTCCGAAAACACCCAGCTGTAAAATGGGTACCCGTGAGGATGTTCTGGCAATGTGAGTGTTTAGTTCATTGCGCCTAACAGGCAGCATGGATGTATGATCCCCAGGGAGTTGAAAAAGTATCGGAAACTACGATAGTGTCCTATAACCGGGAATAGTAATGTACGTAGCGCAGTGAGCAGGCAATGTGCCTGGATGTGAGCGCCATATAAGCGGACTATTACTAGTATTACTATTTACGTACATCTGCAGTCTCAAGACCTCCGACCAGACAGAGTCTCCCGAACCAGCCCCAGCAACCCCGCTTCCCTCCTGTACTCCCTCCCCAGCTGATGCCTCAGGCTCCCACGGAGCCCCAGACCCCCGATGAGGTACCGCAGGTGCCCCAGGTACCCGAGGTCCTGGCTGGCGAGGTGCCGATCAGACGCTCCTGCATGAACGGCGGATACGTGGTGATCCAGGACGATGTTGAGGTTTGCGAGTGTACAAGCGGATTTGGAGGAGACCACTGTGAAATCCGTGAGTATTTCCTTTGTATTTTTGAGTGGTTCGGGTTCGATACTCCGTGGGTTCTGTGCTTGAAGGTCATTCTTGGTGTCGGAGTATATTTATCTGAAATACTGCTTGAAGCAAGTCCGGTGTGTTGAAGGTCGGCACGGCATAGCTGTAGATACCTCTGTCCTGTGGTCCTTTTGGACGTGCTCCACATTATTCTGATAGCAGTGGTGGAACTGCATTCTTGGTCATTGCCCACCCTACTCACTCACTCACTCACCGAGACCTGCTGGTAACGAAGGTCATGTTGTGTTGCAGCCATCTGTATTCCCGGCTGTGAGAACAACGGCGTGTGCGAGAACGTTGACGGCGTCGCTATGTGCGTCTGCTCCAACGGCTACACCGGAGAAATGTGCGAGATTGGTAAGACCTACATACACGTGTAAATAGTCCATTGTTGTATATCGGGTGGTTACAAGGTATGGCCTGGTAAGACCTACATACACGTGTAAATAGCCTATTGATGTATATCGGGTGGTTACGACGAATGGCCTGGCTATGGGTCCCCGTACCTTGACGTCATCAGCTACTAGTACTGGTACATGGGTTTAAAAGGAAAGGGTTTTAGGTGCATGTTAGAATCCACGTGTGAATGCCTGATCCAGACCTTATAATATACAGACAGTCCTGGTATAGTGGGAATATTGCTGAACGTTCACTCCCTCGCGTGTATCCAAGGGTGCGGTTAACCAACTAGATCTGTGGACATGAATCCGCCATCCATGCGGTCACGAGTGTTGTTGATGTCACTCACTCGAGTTCAGCAGAACTGTAGAAATCCGTTGTCCTGATAATATTTACCATGTAGGAATTGTTCCCACCTATGTAAGACCCGCGTCCCACTGTAATGTTAGTTAATTGCCACCATTCATGTGTAGGACGCTTTGAGTGCCTCCATAAGTAAAACTATAGAACAGATTTCCCCCAGGGACCCAAAACGTGGGTGTAGCCTTGTATTTTGAGGTGAACCAACTCCACACATTGAAGAGGAAGTATGTATGGGTCCATCTGTACACAGAGAGCAGCAGCTGTCCTGCCACACCCCTTCCCGTAACACCTGTGGGTCTTGTAGTGTAGATAACCCAACAACAGCCTCAGTGTTTAACGTAACACACTTCAACTTGTCCGACATGCTTTCAGTTCCAGTAGTCGCTGTAACGGAAGTTGAGCAGCCCAAACCAGGTATGTACCAGGAGATTCTATATGTCCTTGCTTTTCAAGACGTGATGAAATTACTTGAAGTTTATCGTCGTATATGTTCCAGACTATATTTTCGAAATCATGCATACTGACTTTGTTTGATCTTTCAATGAAGAAGGTTGTATTGATACTGCTATTGAGGAAGGGTATGCTGGTGATGTGGTCTGTCGCCCATGTTGCATGCTTCAAATGCAGCCCTCCTGAAGTTTATGCTTAGATACAGAAATGAACAAGTTTGAATAGATAGTGTTTGATAAGTGGTGTTTGAGTGAGTGGGTGTTGTTTGTGTCCGCAGTGACGATGGCATGTAAGTAATCGCATCTGGACTCGACAAACCAATGATTCAAAACGTTTGGAGCCATGCCATTGGGATGAGGTGACGGCAATCAGCCAAGTCACTCAACCCGAACACCAACTGTAAACGGCTTCATGACAAGCATGAGTTTCTGGGAACTTGATCCTGAGTCCAGAGAGGGTATTGGTTGACTTATAGAGACTGGCTGCCCCTAATTCGCCAGGTGGATGTACGGCATAAGTTTGGCTGTTCATTCCTTCAAGCAATATACAACCTGATGCCTTCCACCCTGATGATTATACTCGAGTGAGTGAGTGAGTTTAGTTTTACGCCGCACTCAGCAAAAATCCAGCTATATGGCGGCGGTCTGTAAATAATCGAGTCTGGACCAGACAATTTAGTGATCAACAGCATGAGCATCGATCTGCGCAATTGGGAACCGATGACAAGTGTTTACCAAGTCTGCGAGCCTGACCACCAGATCCCGTCAGTCGCCTCTTACAAGCATAGTCGCCTTTTGTGGCAAGCATGGTTTGCTGAAGACCTATTCTACATCGGATCTTCACGGTTCGATTATACTCGAGGGTTATAGACACACAGATGCATTAGTCTTGCTACTATGTGAATGCCCAGGCATGCCTGTACTTTTTGATGTGTGTTTTTCCATGTTTGTTTCAGTTGACCCGGCCACCACCTCGCTGGAGACTAGCCCTAACCCTGGTGAGTGGGATTAATATCACAGTGTCAAACTAAGCATCACAGAATGTTCACAAGTATCTCATGGACTACATCTAAACGAACTATGTGATGAAATCTGTATCGTGCGACACGAGCTCAAAGAACTTGCTGAATCACCGAATTCAACAAAGAGACCTATCACCTGTTTCAACACATGAACTTGCCCAGGACAATTGTCGTATTTCTGAACTTGATTTACTGTTCAAAGGGGAGCGAAAAACTCTGACGTGTCAAAACGTTGAAACAGCCACTAAAGATATTGTAATTTAATGCGATTCACAGTTGTTGAGACTAGATTTTGAAAAACGCGGAATAATGCAACATCAAATGTGTTACGAAAGAACAACAATCTTTGTAAATGCACTGGCATATAGACGAGAGCAGTAACATTCTGAACAACAAGTTTATACGATGGAGGACACCGGTCTGTAATAAATACCATTTAAGGTACCAAAGACCTTTGGTGCCAGGCTCAGTAGCGTATGTTGCTTTATTGGGGAAAAGCATCAATAAAACCATTTTGACAATTATACGTGAATAAATGCAGGATTATAAATATTACCGTGGAGTATGCCAAGGACTTTGTGTGGAGGATCAGAAGGTTACATGACCGTATTGTCACAGAGACGAATATTGACTTACTTGACATGTTAAATGTTTTCAGTACCAGTGATGAAGACCGACTTCACCAACGAGGACCCCGACCACATAGCATCCAAGGCCCATCCTACAGTGGATGTAGAACACAAGGTGGAGATTTTCGGCTATCCCTTGTGGTTGATTCTTGCTGTTGCTCTCGGGATCTTTGCCCTTCTCTTCGTTCTCAGTCTCACATGTTGTCTGTGTCTCAAATGTCGCCGCTCGAAGCACTCGTTTGAGTTGAGCAGAGAAGCTGTGAAAATCCCACTGCCGGACAATATTTACACAGTAGGAGTTGTTCCACCTGTCTATGAGGCAAAGGGTATTCCTCCTCTTTCGTATGAAGAGGCGAAAGGGGAGACAATCAAGGGTGGCGACAAGAAGGTTGACGATGCAGAAAAGGATGGCAAAGAAGAAAATTAAGTATTGGTAAGTTAATCTTCATAATTATCCATTTTGGTTTGTCTGACTGGGTTTGGATGTTTTATGCTGAGGAGACATCACAACAAATTTGTTTTACAAATGGAACTGTTGGGAATGTAATGAGGGGGAACAAGATACTACATCATCGTATGTAAATGTTCCAGGTCCACATGCTGTATTGGTCAGTGAGTGAGTGAGTGAGTGAGTGAGTGAGTACGGTTGTATGCTGCTTTTAGTAATATTCAAGCAATATCTCAGCAGGACACCGTAAATGGGCTGAACACATAGAACCCGTGTGGGGAATTGAATCCGACTTTCTACTGCCCTAATTTTATACATTGTCATTGTTAGGTTGCTTGGGTCATCGATTGGTGGACATATTAAAATTTCATTTTAATAAGAAAGTTGACTTGATCAGAATTTGCTTGGACTGCCAATTTACCAGAAACAAGTCCTCCCTTAAACGTGGATATATGTCCTGACCAGTCATCCCAACGGCAATAAAATCATTCTTTCATTTCAGAGGCGAGCAGGTGCTCTTCAAGAAAGTACCCTCTTACCATAAAAAAACTTTCATGTGAAACTCCTAGGATGTGCTCAACATGTACCTAAACACCCACAAGAATTATAATGTGATATGATATATTCCTGATGACTGACAAGATTGAGGAGGGCCCCTTCTGTGCCGAGTGCACGGGCAGCTCCTCCGTAGAGTCTCCGTCTGATGATAAGAAGATACTTCAGCATGTACATATATATCAAATCGTATAATCTGAGTTGTACCTTACAAGTTAACATGAAAAGGTGTATTACACACTGAAATAAAAACAAGTTACAATTCTGGATTCTGGTATTTGTCATTTTTAATGTCAAACTATTGACATGTGTGATGATGTCCTGGTGTTCCTAACGGGTGAATCTCAGCGTCTGGAGGAAGCTACCTGCTGGAACTCTCATGATGCAACGGTCAAGGACTTGGATTCAACATCTCTCTGGATGGTAGTTCACAGAGTCTCGGCTTAGAACAATAATTCATTTATATCACGAAGCAGGTCTGACGTTTTCTTGTCTGGTCGTATTGCTGCCACTTTTAACTCTGATGAGAAAGACATCAATCAAACATTAAGAAAAAGAAGCAGCAACGATGGTACAAATCCACAAGGATCAAATGCAAATTATAACATCTGTTGAGTCGGAAATGGTATAAGGGCAGGCGTTACAAGTAGGCGTAAGTAACCACACGGGTGTAATCACTGGATTGTGCGAGTGTTTTGGGGTGAGTGGTATTTACACGGTGATGAATTTTGCTCATATGAAATACATGTACATCGTTTTCTAAGCTGTTATTTTCAAGGACATACCCCATAGTTGTCGCATTTTCCCCAAGTGGAGAAAAATGAGAGATTTATTTCTAAATTCTCTTGAGTTTTTTATTTTTTGCAAATTCATCTTCATCATATATGTACACATATATTTCATCAAAGTAAATTTAAGCACCATTCTTTTGAAATGTATGCCTCAAACTATTAAACTCACCGTTGACATATTTAAAGTATACCGCCTATCGCCTCACCAATTCCTTTGTGTGTGTTTGTTTTTCTTCAATCAAACCTAATGCATCGTCAACCAAAATAACTTCCCTAAACCACGTAAGTGATCAATATTTTCTTGACATCGGCCTAATCCTAAATTGATGTCATCACAGTGACATAAATGTAATATTTGAGTAAAATTGATATTTTATACTTATCCTGACTCATGCTTATTGGCTTTCTCTTCTTTCCATGCGAATGGTAGTGGAACACTTAGAATCCCTTGTAGTTGCCTGAAGAGGACGTAAAAATTCTCTCACCCACGAGTTGCCTCCCTTTTCCCGCGCAAACAGTCATGTGACCTGCCATGCTTGTCACTCTCTCCTGAATAAGCCCATGCACCTGGGTTTGCTGGGAAACCCGAAGTGTCTTCTGCGGGGAGGCTGGGAGGGCTTGACATCATGAGTCAGGATAAGTATAAAATATCAATTTTACTCAAAAAATTACATATTTTTCCTTATCCTGACTCATGCTTATTGGCTTCCAGAATCCGACGGATTGGTGGTGGGTCAAGCCACTTCGTGGATTCATCAGCTGTTCTTAGATACGTCCTGTATTCCCCCCATGGGAAATGTGTAACTGCACTTCCTGGATCCTGTTCTTCTAACTTCCGCTGTCAACTCGGGGGGACCACATCTTGTCATACTTCTCTAAGACAAGTGAATCTTTTTAGATTCATGTGGATTTTAGATATACTAGTATCTTGTTCTTACTAGTTATCTATAAACAACCCATAGATTATGATAAGATCGTTACCATAAATGAGTTGCGATCCCTTACCCGTACAGAGTCTTAATCAGTCCTGCTAGTCTGGTGTAGACGGAGCGCATGGACTCTCAACCAAAACCCTCTAGAGTGAAGGTTATGAACAAGTCAACGTGATAAAGGGTGAGATTCCCAACTCAGCGCCTTTGTGGAACCGTTAGGTGTAGTGCTACAAAAAGTGGCCCAAACTGGTGAATGCCGGAGGCATCCTCGGTGGTGATGTCTCTGAGGTTGAGGTTGGCAAACTCCGTGTCCGACTTCCAAAAGCAGCCCTCCATTGAAACTGATATCTAGCAGCTCTGACTTCGTATTGGTTGGAAACTCTTGGAGGTTCTAGTCCTGCTGCTTTGTCAGCTCACATCCAAATAATATTGTCGTCTTTGAGACTTCTACGGTCGTATCTGCTGACAACGGAGAGATGACTGTGGCTTGAATCTTGACTCATCGATCTGCCGGTAATATGATGCCATTCTGATTGACAACAAATCTTGCTAACTGCAACGCTTCCGCCAGAATCCAACACAGCACAACGCTTGTTGCTGTCGAGGCGCTCCAATCAGCTGATTACTCATGTAAAACAGTTATATGGTTGAGGTAATTCCAACCAGGTACACGCTTCAGTGGTAAAGAAGATGTTATTACCGGAATCTCGATGATATGCAGCAATGATGCGTCATTCTTCATCTTCAAATCGCCAACGATCTATGTTGAAAGCGAGCTGACATCAATGTGAAGTCTATTTATAGTAGACTGGTTGCCGCGAACAGAAACCATCTGTCACTTGTTACTGCAAGCCTCCAGATAAACAACGCTTAATCTGCTGTCAGAAGAAGACCATATGCCTCCCATGAAGACGATGGAACCACGCTGTACCATCTAGAAACCATCTGTCCCAGATGAAGTCTTTCCACGTTGGAAGGGTTGTTTACAATTGTAGACGACTTCCTGGTACGTGAACTGCGACCGCCTTCTGCGCAGGGCATTGTCTCTCATGGACCAATCAGATTCCAGATATGTGACCTCACCAGTGTTGCAGCAAATCGATCATCATGAAATCTTGTGCAGTCGTTGGTTCCTTCATCATCACTCAGTCTTGTCCGTAACCTTGCTATTCGGCTTACCCAGGAATAACACGAGTGAACACGGGTGTAGTTGGTTGAGTAAAAGCGCGCAAAATTATTTGCCGCTTAGTGCTGATGTAAGTAGACTACCCCCTGGGAGATGCGTCTCTATCCTTCAACTTCTTATTCTTCAATGAAGACAATGCAGTCGTCATCTTGTTTAGATGTTCTGATGAGGTTCCCACGCTTCCTTGACGTTGTTACTGGTTGTCAGTAATGTTAATCTAATAACTTTTGGGACTGATGCGATGTCTCAATGAGGAACTGCGATGACACCAATCTTAGGCTGGCGTCGACTGTCAGAATGTTCCCTTAATCTCTTGTAAACTGTGCAGGCACGATGTCAAATGGAGAAAATCTGAATGTAGCTGCATTCGTGCAAAGTTGACAACATCTTCTTCATGCAGGTTTACTTTGCGTAGCCAGTCTGGCATCTACGAACATTCAATTCACGACTGCATGCATGATGGAGATTCATCTTTGGTGCTTTCTCGAACATTGTCTGACATCGTTGTAACTTGCTTCATTAACACGCCTGGGACGAAGTTCTGCGATGTGGGCTGAACTCGATAAAATGCGGTGTACGCGTTCATGATCGCTGAGGCGTTGTCTTCATCCCTGATGACAGACATCTGCGTTGCTGGTGGTTGATCATCAAACAGCTGGGTAGCTGTCGTAACTGCAGGGGAAGATCGTCTCACCGATGAAATAGTGTGTGTGAACGTAATCGTTGGTCTTAAAATCTAGATGAACGTCTACTTCGCCGGAAGGTACGATGTCTTCCTTAACCGATCTGAAGTCCGGTTCGATGGGCGGGATCGTGAAAGAGTCGAAATCCTCATTCAACATCTTGTACGTGAGTACTTCATTCGACTCTTTGGATGGAGACGCTAAGTCCAGACCACTTGCGATCCAGGATGTAACTTCCGAATCCGAAAGGATGCCATCACTTTCTTCATCTTATGAGTCGATTCTCGCTCTGATGAACTGTGTCTTCACGAGTGCATTCGCGAATGCTCCCTTCATGAATCTTACTTTCGTGAAGCTTCCTTTTGCGAACCTTCCTTCCGCAAATCTTCCTTTCGCGAATCTTCCTCCTGTAGATCTGAGGGTTCGCGAACCCTGTAGATGTGTGCATTGCTGGAATCTGCCTGTTGATCTGAGGGTTCGCGAACCCTGTAGCTGTCTGCGTTGCTGATATCTCTCTGCGTTTTTTCGGTTTGCTGATGTGACTTCATAGTCTCTTGTAGACTCAGGGATTTTCGCCGAACCTCTTGTAGACTCAGGGACGTTCGCCGAACCTCTTGTAGACTCAGGGACATTTGCCGAACCTCTTCTTCTTCCTTTCGACTGTAGGCTTGTGGGACGAACATGATTGTCTTAGGAACAGCTTCTCGCAGGGCTGAGTATCGAGGCTGTTGTCTGTCATCAGGTAGGGTTCTGCTGTGCAGTTCTCTCTTCAACGTTGTTTGTGCTCCATCCTTCTGCCATCATTTCTCGCTTGTAAACCTGCATCATGAAGTCATCAGTCGGGGTCGAAGTTCTGCGTTGTAGACTGGAACTAATGCTGAGTAGATGAAGCGTTCGAGAACGCTGAGGCGTATTCTTCGTCTACTTGCAGCTGCAATGATTCTACGTTGTTGTTGTCTCTGTTGACAGACGTCTGTGGAGGCTGGTCGTCAAACAGCTGACAGCTGTCATGGTTGCAGGGGACGATCGTGTCGTCGTGGAGGTAGACTGCATCGTCGCTCTTGTCGCTTGTCGCTCTTACTGGTACTACAGATAGTAGCGTCGGAGAGTCAGCATAAACGTCTGCTTCGTCAGGAGGCACAATGTCTTCGTTGAACAACCTCTGATGTGTTGTCTTACTGGAACGAGTTGACTTCAACGAGGTTCTCGATGAAGACGATTCTTCTGCGCCGCAGACGATGAAGACCTCTCCTCTTACTTTACTAAGTCCCGACCAGTAACAGACAACTGCCCCTGTAACGTACTCGGGAAACACCTGAATTTCAGCAGTAGTTAACAACATATGGTTACCGGTATTATCAGATGAATTTCCTCTCCTGGTCTATCGCCTGTCTATATATATAAGATAAATAATGATTAAATTGCACATCTGATAATTTAATACAGTATCTGCAAAAGCTGGAAGAACATGGATTAATGCATGAGGGATATTGGGGAGATGACTCAGCGGCTGATAGCCGGTACCTGCAATCACTGCAAGATTTCATCAAATGTAAACAAACTACATTATGATGAATAAATGTCAAAAAATATGAATAATTTTTCCAAAATTTTGGCATAGAAAAACTAAGGATATGGTGCGGTATTCCAGTGCTCACCCAGCCATCCGGGATGAAGGAGAGAGTGACAAGCATGGCAGGTCATATGACTGTTTGCTCGTGGGACAGAGAAATTTTACGTCTTCTGGGAACTACAATTCTAAGTGTTCCACTACCATTCGCATGGAAGGAAGAGAAAGCCAATAAGCATGAGTCAGGATCAGGAATTATGTGTGATATATCAAACTTCACTCCCGGAGAAGTCCCTAATTTCAATGGAATTGTAAATGCAATCAAACTTGTCATGATAACATTCCCCTGGAAGAAATAATGGTCAACCTTCCAAATATGCCACCACTGGGATGAAGGATGAACATAACGACCTTCACAGACTGCTGCTCTTGAAATGTAATGTCAGATGAGTCACGTGTCTTCCCTCTTGTCTATAATACTTCAAGACTATTCTCCCAGTCTAAATATAGCATCAAGCTCACCATGCTGTTTCTTGAATGTTTACAGCTTAATACAATTACAACACTGTTTAACAATGTATAACACTGCTATATGAAAGGTGGTTGCTCACTGGAAGTACCTTAATTTAGAGAACTTTCTGTAACATGACCCTTTACATACACACAATGAAATGTCAGGATCGTCCTAGAGGTTTTATTTCATCCCCTGAACTCGCTGCCCACCTCATAACACAGGCAACTGAAGGAGCATCATTCCCCTAGGTTGTCCATGCCCTTCATAGGTTGTACTACATGCAAAATGTTATGGGTGCATATCCTATTATATTAAGCTCAGAAATTGACACCACTAATTGTACCTTCTTGCCATTAACTTAGTCTTTGTCTAAGAACTACCTGGAAAATCCCCTTTTTGACAATCCATACAAAATCAAAAGATGAATTGATGCATGTGAAGACGAACTGTATCATCAGGTGAATACAACAGTTACCTGTGGCACACCTGTAACAATACTATGATCCATGGCTGATCACGCAGGCTAAAAGAAACATACCAGGGGTTGCCCAAAACAAACAAACTCAACCATCCTTTCTGATATTTTATTTGATACAAAAATATTATTTTTTCTTTTTAAATTTCACAGATCTTTTAATATGACAATAATATTTGGACATAAATACAGTGGAATTTTACATTTTTTTCTTAAGATGGGGGGAAAAGAATTAACAGATTCTCGGAAAACATTCTTGGAGGGATATTGTCATTGGAGCTGTTGGCTTACACCAGTTGGGATGTAAATTTAGTTTAGACTGAACAAAAATGTATTTGATATGAAAATTTGTCTTCCTAAGGCACAGTCTAAGGTATTCCTATTCACAATACTATTCTGCTTCTTTGGTCATAATATATTCTTAGTTTCCGTCCCCTCCCATCTCACTATGAAACATCCACCTCATTTTCAAACACCTACTGGACAGAACGTCATTGGTCTAAAGTATCTACAACCAGAGTCAATCACTTTGTGTTGAACTGTTCCCTCCTACCAATCTATTTCATCCTGACATTGCTGAATATGACCAAGTCCGTGGTACTCCATGGTACTCCATGACAAGCAGCTGCCTAATCTTCCTGGGTATGACAGCACCATGTGTCCACCCAGCCCTGCTGTAAACTTGTCATGTCATCATTAGTAACAGGCATAAAATCCTAACTTGTCATGACATCACACAGATCACAATGTATGTTCATCCAGAGTCTTGGTCACCGATACCTGTCTCGGTCTCGCCGAGAGTCCCGATCATCTCGGTACCTGTCTCTCTGTTTCTGCCTCCTATCTGGACTTCTCTCTCTCCTGTCCTCTTCTCTCTCGCGGCTTCTCCTTCTGTCCTTTTTCCTCCTGTCAGGTGACCGTGACCTTGACCTCGACCTTCGTCTTGGTGGGCTTTCACTTCTTTCTCTGGCCCTCTTTTTGTGTTTCTTTGAAGACTTCTACAATAAGATATATCAAGAGTCATAAGAGGCGACTAATGGGATCAGGTGGTCAGGCTCACTAACTTGGTTGACATGTGTCATCATATCCTAAATGCATATGTCAATGCTCATGATCACTGGATTGTCTGGCCTAGATTATTTACAGACCGTGTCATATAGCTGGAATATAGCTCAGGGCTCAAACAAACAAAAGTACTCACCTTATAATCAGAGCTGTCACTGTCAGTACTCCCACTCCTGTGTTTTTTGGTCTTTTTCTTTTTCTCTTTTTTCTTCTCCTTTTTCCTCTTTTCTGATGATGCACCGTTGTCATCGTTGTCAAACACAAGGTCATAGCCACTTTACAGTCAGGAAAGTAACCATGCACCATCAACTGGCTTACTCTCATGCACCGTCAACTGGCTTACTCTCATGCACCGTCAACTGGCTTACTCTCATGCACCGTCAACTGGCTTACTCTCATGCACCATCAACTGGCTTACTCTCATGCACCATCAACTGGCTTACTCTCATGCACCATCAACTGGCTTACTCTCATGCACCATCAACTGGCTTACTCTCATGCACCATCAACTGGCTTACTCTCATGCACCATCAACTGGCTTACTCTCATGCACCATCAACTGGCTTACTCTCATGCACCATCAACTGGCTTACTCATGCACCGTCAACTGGCTTACTCTCATGCACCATCAACTGGCTTACTCTCATGCACCATTAACTGGCTTACTCTCATGCACCATCAACTGGCTTACTCTCATGCACCATCAACTGGCTTACTCTCATGCACCATCAACTGGCTTACTCTCATGCACCATCAACTGGCTTACTCTCATGCACCATCAACTGGCTTACTCTCATAATGCACCATCAACTGGCTTACTCTCATGCACCATCAACTGGCTTACTCTCATGCACCATCAACTGGCTTACTCTCATGCACCATCAACTGGCTTACCCTCATGCCAACAGCTGGCTTACTGGCTACTCTCATGCACCATCAACTGGCTTACTCTCAAGCACCATCAATCTGGCTTACTCATGCACCGTGGCACCATCAACTGGCTTACTCATCAAGCACTCATCAACTGGCTTACTCTCAAGCACCACCAACTGGTTTACTCTCATGCACGATCAACTGGCTTACTCTCATGCACCATCAACTGGCTTACTCTCATGCACCATCAACTGGCTTACTCTCATGCACCATCAACTGGCTTACTCTCATGTGCCATCAACTGGCTTACTCTCATGCACCATCAACTGGCTTACTCTCATGCACCATCAACTGGCTTACTCTCATGCACCATCAACTGGCTTACTCACCATCAACTCATGTGCCATCAGCTGGCTTACTCTCATACACCACCAACTGGCTTACTCTCATGTGCCATCAACTGGTTTTACTCTCATGCAATATCAACTGGCCTACTCTCATGCACCATCAACTGGCTTACTCTCATGCACCGTCAACTGGTTTACTGCGGCATCAACTTAGCTTGGCTTACTCAAACTAGAAAACTGTGCAGACTGCATCTTCAATATGCATACAAAAACTGTTTCCTTCAAACTGATTTATATAGTACTCCCCAATATTATTCTAGTCCACATAATACTATATATCTTAAATGTGAGTGCTTAAATATTCCTGGGTATATAACTTGGGATATCTTGCACTGGATTCAAACATTGTAGAAATCCCTTCAACACTGGTCTGCCCAACCCATCACAAAATTCTATAGAACGGCCACCTCGTATCGACGAAAGTGTACAGGCAACGGAAGTGACGCGATTTTCCCTCTACAAGCAGCTGACCATCCAAAATCACTTTTACTGACCAGGTCCGAAGAGCCCAGAGAGGGAGGAGCATCCAGCTGGGAGGGAGTTACCGCCTCTATGGTAAGGTGGCATTTAAATATCTAAAATATTTAGATTTTAATAAATTTTTAACTTTACCTTACCATAGGTCTTATGCATATGGATTCGACAGTAGGGACGGCAGTGTCGGCTCCAGAGGACCGGCCCTTACCTAAAACCCACATGCCAAAGGAAAAACCAGAAGAAACTACTGAATCGCCAGACTGTCGCGAGGAGGCTTCTGGAACAGGAGACAGATAGTAACTAAAGGCAACCCTAAGGAAAACAAATACACCCAAAGTGTAAGTTAACCTGAAGACCAGAAGGTAAGAAGAAGTAAAGTTACCTAATGGGCGTAGGACGGGTGAGTTGCTGAGCAACCACCAGTGGACCAAACGATTGAAGACCTTCCACGCCCCTCGCTAACGCCAAATCCCGCAGGTAATGACTAGCTAAGACAGTAGAGGACTTCCAAAACAACCCTCCATGATGGCTGGAACGGTGCAGTTTCTGTGGAGAGCCATGGTGGGATGCCAGAGCCCTAATCTCATGCGGATTATTGGCTGTAGGATGAGGCAGATCTCAAGCGATCAGGGCGTCAGGATGGTAGTACGGAGCCAGAGCGCAAGCTAGTTTATTCTTATTAACTTCACCTTGGCCAGAAGATAACGGATGAACAGTCTCTACGAGACTGCCTCCTGAAGATGACTTGGCAATATAAATCTTAAGTGCCCCTCACGGGACAAAGCAGCTGTTCCTCAGCCGAGGTCCTAGAATGGAAGACAAAGGAGGGATGGAGAAGATCCTATCCGTTGTCCCGCAGCTGGTTCTCTGGCCATTTAAATCCCCAAAGCAGTCCGGAGATGAACAAGACCATGCCGCGGACTGCTCAAAACGCGACCCTGGTGACATACATCCAATGCGCGGATCTCACTAACCCTAGCTGCTGTGGCCAGGGCCAAGAGAAAGGCTGTCTTCCTGGAGAGGTTCTCAAAAGAAGCCGGTCCAAGGGCTCATAAGGGGGACCTCCTCAGATGATCTAAGAACGACGCTTAGGTCCCAAGCCGGAGGATCTGAGCTTTGTTCTCTGGTCCTCCAGCTTAAACGCTTTGAGGACAGCAGCATGAGTTCTGGCACCTTTGAAATCTTTTTGTCGCGACTTGACCGCCAGAACGGAGTTAAGAGCCGATAAATAAGTTCCTATAGTGTTGCCCTTTGAGACTGGACTCAAGAAAGAGAAGGAACTCTGCTATAAACTGAGGAGAAGCCTTCTGAACGGTCCTTGGACTTCTGTGCACAAACTTCTCAAAAGAAACCCACTTATCATCATCATAGAGTGATCTTGTGGAGACTCGTATGAGCACGACAGCAATAACCTTCGACACCCGCGGAGAAGCCCTCCTTTGGCCTTCAGCTTTCGCGTAGATGATCCAACCGCGACAGATGAAACCGAGTCGGATCGGGATGCCACCGTCGTACCGTGGGATGCCTGAGCAGGTGAGGCCAGTCTGGTAACTGTTGGCGACTCTTCGGCGCGCAGACGGCGAGATCTGGGGAACCAGGTTCTGGCTGGCTACCAAGGCGCACCTAAAAGCAGACTTAATCGCCGGTCTGTCCGGCTGACCTTTGCTATTACCGGCAACAGAACTGGTGGTGGAAAGGCGCATTAACGCCCAGACCCTCCCACCTATTAGCGATGATGGCGTACGACCGCCCATGCCGCTGATCTGAATCGGAGACACGCATAACGCAGCTGTGTGTTGAAGCCGAAGTCGCAAAACAGGTCGATCAGAGGGCTGGACTGTGACAAAAAGAAGTTTGAACGCTCTGGATGTAGCATCCACTCTCATGCACCGCCAACTGGCTTACTCATGCAATCATTAACTGGCTTAATTCTCATGCACCGCTAACTGGCTTACTTCTCATGCACCGCTAACTGGCTTACTTCCTCATGCACCGCCAATCCGCTTATTTCATGCACCATCAGCTATTTACCTCATGCAATCACAATATTTACCCTCATGCAATCATTAACTGGCTTAATTTCATGCACCATCAGCTGGTTTACCTCATGCAATCAATAACTGGCTTAATTCTCATACCGCCAACTGGCTTAATTCTCATGCACCATCAGCTGGCTTTTACCCTCGCGTAACCGCCAACTGGCTTACCTCATGCACCAACTGGCTACTCATGCACCATCAGCTGGCTTACCTCAGCGCACCGTCAACTGGCTTAATTCTCATGCACCGCCGTCTGGCTTAATTCATGCACCATCAGCTGGCTTAATCTCATGCACCGCCAACTGGCTTACCTCATGCACCGCCAACTGGTTTACTTCCTCATACACCACCAACTGGCTTAATGCCATCAACTGCATTTCTATGCACCATCAACTGGCTTACCTCATGCACCGCCAACTGGCTTAATTTCGCACCATCAACTGGCTTACCTCATACACCGCCAACTGGCGCATCGCACTATCAACTGGCTTACGCCATCACGGCTTACCTCATACACCAACCGGCTTACTCATGTGCGACCAACTGGCTTACCTCATGCACCATCAACTGGCTTTACTTCCTCATGTAACCGCCAACTGGCTTAATTTCGCGCCATCAACTGGCTTACCTCATACACCAACAACCGTTTACTTCATGCCATCAACTGGCCACTTCATGTAACCACCAACTGCATCCTCATACACCGCCAACTGGCTTACTGCACCCATCAACTGCTTAATCATACACCGCCAACTGGCTTACTTCGCATCTATCAACTGGCATTTCGCACCGTCAACTGGCTTCATGCACCATCAACTGGCTTATCTTCATGTGCCATTAACTGTTTTATTTCATACACCACCAACTGGCTGCATTTCATGTAACCATCAACTGCATCTTCATACACCGCCAACTGGCTTTTACTTCGCGTAATCTAACTGGCTTACCTCATACACCGCCAACTGGCTTACTTCCGCACCATCAACTGGTTTACTCGCCAACTGGCTTACTTCGTGGTAATCTATCAACTGGCTTTTACTTCGGCGTAATCTATTAACTGGCTTTACTTCATACACCACCAATTGGCTTAATTTCGTATTAATTAATCCGCTTCTACTTTCATGTAATCATTACCTGGCGATTTCATATGCTAATAACTACTCCACTTCATGCCATCAGCTGGCTTAATTTCATGCCACCAACTGGCATAAAGCATCAATTGGCGCATTTCATGTACTAATAATTGTTTTATTTCATGTAATTGCTAATTGGCGATTACAGCACACCATGCATTTCATATGCTAATAATTGAGCATTTTATGTAATTACTAATTGGTGCATTTCTTTATAAAGCATTAATTGTTAAGCCATGTAATTGCTAATTGAGCATTTTGTGCTAATAACTGCTTATTTCTTATGCAATTAATAACTGGCTTACTCATACTGCTAACTAAGCATTGTGGTAATTAATAACTTGTTTTACCTTATATACTGCTAATTACATTTCGTGGTATTCATTAACTAAGCTATGTAATTGCTAATTATGATTTTATATACTACTAATTGCTTATTTTTATAAAGTGCTAATAACTGGTTTATTTCTATGTAATTAATAATTGGCGTATTTTATGTAATTGCTAATTCAAGCGCATTTCTTTATAAGCATTAATTCATGCATTTCTTTTATGTAACATTAACTGGTTTTATTTCCTTTATATATCATTAATTCATGCATTTCGTAATTATCAATTGGCGCATCTTTATATAATTGCCAATCTGGCATTTTACTCCATTAATTGGCGTGGTATTTCTTTATAATTGCTAATTAAGCAATATTATTCTAGTCCACATAATACTATATATCTTAAATGTGAGTGCTTAAATATTCCTGGGTATATAACTTGGGATATCTTGCACTGGATTCAAACATTGTAGAAATCCCTTCAACACTGGTCTGCCCAACCCATCACAAACTAAGATTATTAGCAATTACAACCTATATACCGGGGATGCAAAATATACACACTTGCAGGTTAAAAGTAACAGTGAAAAGGATACTCGTTTTTCCTTGACGTGTCTTTGAGAGTGTATGCTGGTTTTGACTGGTCAGAATCTGAAAAAACAGAATGAATGCGGTGAGTTGGGTCTGTTCTGGTAGCTATTTCATGTCACTCTAATGGAAAATCATATGAAATGATAACAAATCAAATTTTGAGTGTTTGCAGCCAAGAGAATGTTAAAGACAAGTTTTTTCCGCCACTCATCTAAACTACTTTCAGTACAAACAACAACAAAGAAGTTTGGAAGTTAAATAACAGTTTCACTTTCCCTGTAACATGTAACTCTTTATAAATGTAACCTCATTGACAGTGTGTTAAGTAATCACTTTTGAAACCCATATCTTCCTGTTTTCCTTCTTACTCTGCTATGGATCACTAACCCTCCACTAAACAAGGAATGAAGCCCGTCACCTTTGCCCTTCTTGTTGTACTGGAGCTTGGACACGGACTGGCTGAAGTCTACATGGATCCGGCGGTCATCTATGAGGACATTATCCATCTTGAAGTAGGCATTCTCACAGTCAGCCTCCTGGCAACACAGGACATCAGGTATCACACAGATCAGGGCCTCCTTTCACGAAGCAACCTTTACTAAGGTTAACCTTGATTCCCATTCTTTAACATTGCACTAAGGTTACCTTAGTTTTATGAATGTCAGTGCTAATTATTTTGTTCTGGCCTTAATTTGTCAATCTCTATTGTGATCATCTATTAGTGGTATTACCCGCTGCTTCCCGTCTGCCCTTTGTTCATTCCCTATAATTCAATCCCGGCTGCCAACTGTCCAGTGTTCATCACCTATCAACACTGTTTAACTGTTAGTGTTGGCTTCTACTCAGCGCCATTTAACTCCCCTACTTTCCTTGAGTATATTTTATATCAAAATTTATTTCAAATGTTTAACAGTTTGTCCATATCAAATACTTACACAAACACGATTATAATGACTTGCTTTAGAATTTGAATTTAGAATTGTTCTTGCACCGAACCAATAATTCTCCCCAATGCATCAAGCTTACCTTTTCAAATTCAATAAATGCATATTGTAGAGATTCCCCCGTCTTCTGATCCTTTATGACTTCACAACTGCAAGGAATCATCAGAAGTGAGTGAGTGAGTGAGTGAGTGAGTGAGTGAGTGAGTGAGTGAGTGAGTGAGGAGTGAGTGAGTGAGTGAGTGAGTGAGTGAGTGAGTGAGTGAGTGAGTGAGTGAGTGAGTGAGTGAGTGAGTGAGTGAGTGAGTGAGTGAGTGAGTGAGTGAGTGAGTGAGAGTGAGAGGGAGAGTGGGTGATAAAGCCTGAAGTGTTGCAGGTGTCAGACATCTACCACCTTGGTAAAGCCCATACGCATGAGTATGGTGCTGAAAAACCTACAAATATAATCGGGGCAAAGTGGTTTTCAAACCCATGAGCAAAGGTTTCTGGTGTGCCAAGGGTTGTAAACAAATTACATAAATAAATTTGGCTCCTTTCATGACACCTCTGATTCCATGATGGATGATCGTTGTAATAAGATGTCTGAGAAAACTGAGTTGTTTAAGAACATTGTGTGTTACCAAGTTCTTGCTTATTAATAATATTTATGCTAACATATGTTATATTTGGGATTACACTTTCTAAATGGCATTGTGTAATCACAGCTTTCGGCCGTGGGAGCTGTGCCAATTTACACTTATCAGAGGGGTACACAAAGTCCGCAGTCAAGACTACCAATTGTCCGACTTCCATTTTTGTGGAAGTCGCGATGGCTGAGCGGGTTAGGCGACTGACTTTGTGTGCTGGCGATTAGGTGCCTGACTCTGAGGGTGTGGATTTGAATCCCGGATGGGACCCAACTCAACAAAAGTACTAGAATCTGTACTTTAAGAAAGTGTAATCCCAGCTATAACATATGGTACATTTGACCACTTTCTAAATGGCATAAATATTGATGCTATTGATGAAAGCTGGTCTTAACAAGGCCTGAGTTGCTCTACAGCATCTATCATTGTCATATAGTTATGTTGATTTTTACCTCTTTATTTCTCCAAACCGAGAGAATATCATTTCCAGATCTTCTGAAGTTGTGACTGGGTTGAGTTTACACACAAACAACACATCATCTGGAGGTCGAACATCTGCCTCGGGGAGATCACCGACCTGTCAACAAAACACACATACTTCAGGTCAGTATCATGGATCACTGTGGGTCAAGGTCATACAGTTCAGAGTCCCACATACAGGTCACAGTCACAGTGTAATACAGGTAACAGTTAAACAGGTCAACACATACAGGTCACAGTCACACATACAGGTCACAGTCACACATACAGGTCACAGTCACATACAGGTCACAGTCAATTACAGGTCACAGTCACATATACAGGTCACAGTCACATACAGGTCACAGTCACATACAGGTCACAGTCACACATACAGGTCACAGTCACACATACAGGTCACAGTCACACATACAGGTCACAGTCACACATACAGGTCACAGTCACATACAGGTCACAGTCACATACAGGTCACAGACACATACAGGTAACAGTCACACATACAGGTCACAGTCACATACAGGTCACAGTCACATATACAGGTCACAGACACATACAGGTCACAGTCACATATACAGGTCACAGTCACATACAGGTCACAGTCACATACAGGTCACAGAGTAATACATAGGTAACAGTCACACATGCAGGTCACACATACAGTCACAGGTCACAACCAAATTAATCACAGTCACACTGACTACAGTGACACATACTGGTCACAGTCACATATACAGGTCACAGTCACAGAGTAACATACAGGTCACAGTCACATATACAGGTCACAGTCACATACAGGTCAAAGTCACATACAGGTCACAACCACATTAATCACAGTCACACTGACTACAGTGACACATACTGGTCACAGTGGAATCACTGACATATATCCAAGTCATATCACTCAGAATCACACAGGCCTCAGGAATCACTGTGTCCTCACCATCTCTAGCAGCTGGGCATTAGCTTGTGCCTCTTTCTCCTCAATCTTCTCTTTCACCTCTTCCATCGTCAACCCCTTCGTGTCATCGATCTCCTCATCAGCACGAATCCGCCCACTCTGTAACATCACAACAAAGCTACACAATCACATGACTGCTTCATGACAACAGCCTGAAACTAAATGGAATTAAGTCACAAGGTCATTTTTCAAGCTTGAACTTCTGATAATCATATTGAAAACATCTGGTAGTTTCAACTTCCAGTCAATGCACCCACAGATACACAATACAATATTGAGATACAACAACTTAATTTCCGTGAAAATATTACAATAATATTGTTACCATGGTAATGAATCTTCATCTAATGAAACGGTTGTCCTCACTACAACATTGTCAGATGACTTTTACATCAGTTATTGGTCAATATGCATGTTTCGGCAGCATACACATGTACAAAGTGTGCGTATAAATAACAAGATATTATCTCTGGAGAAACAGCATCAGTACTCACATCCAGCATCTCTTTAGTTGGTTCTGGAGACCTGTCGGGAATGTTGAGGTCAGGAGGGTCATCGTAGGGGTCATCCAGTATCACAGTGTGGTAGATTCTGAAGTTGAACCACTAACTCATTACATTGTGCAAGTACCTAGTCAGTTAAGCGATGCTTTAATGCCATCTTAAACAGTATTTTAGCCATAGCGTGACATGTCAGCTCTATGGGTGAGGAAAGAAGGCTGGCAGTCGACAGAACAATCTCCATGATACTGTGAAACACTATTACTATTTAAATCCCCAGCGGAGATATGAATCCACAATCTGATTTCCCAACAGATCCAAATGGCAACATGATGCCACACAGCAATCTGAATCACTAGGGCTATCTCAACTTCTATGACAATCAGAAAATTCATGGCAACATGATGCCACACAGCAATCTGAATCACTAGGGCAATCTGAATCACTAGGGCTATCTGAATCACTAGGGCTATCTGAACTTCTATGACAATCAGAACATTCATGGCAACATGATGCCACACAGCAATCTGAATCACTAGGGCTATCTGAATCACTAGGGCTATCTGAACTTCTATGACAATCAGAACATTCATGGCAACATGATGCCACACAGCAATCTGAATCACTAGGGCTATCTGAATCACTAGGGCTATCTGAATCACTAGGGCTATCTGAATCACTAGGGCTATCTGAACTTCTATGACAATCAGAACATTCATGGCAACATGATGCCACACAGCAATCTGAATCACTAGGGCTATCTGAATCACTAGGGCTATCTGAATCACTAGGGCTATCTGAACTTCTATGACAATCAGAACATTCATGGCAACATGATGCCACACAGCAATCTGAATCACTAGGGCTATCTGAATCACTAGGGCAATCTGAACTTCTATGACAATCAGAACATTCATGGCAACTTCAATCCTCATGACAATGTGAACCCAAAACACAATCTGAATCTGAATCCCCTAGACAATATGAATCCTACGTCGTCAATGTGCATTCTCCTGTCAACTCGGCTGCTTACCTGACGTCTATGTACGGCCTGTGTTCCTCATCACAGTAAGCTTCATTCAGTTTGTCCAGCACCTCGAAGCCCTCGGCCACCTGACCAAACACTGTGTGCTGACCATCCAGGTAGTCCAACTCATCAGCAAGAGTGATGAAGAACTGTAAACAGGTTTACACACGTGGTATTCCTCAACTCAGACATACTGCCCTGACCAATCTAATCTGCCGTTTTACAGAGTAGTAATATAAAAATTATTTTAATATAATTATTGACAATCTGTGAATAACAACTTCTTTTATTTCGTGAGTGCGACATTTTGATACAGGTTCTTGTACTGTTGACAAGCAGAATCTGTATCGAGACTTTGCACTCACAAAATAATAGAAGTTGTAATCCATAAAGTTTGTCAATATTGTACCTCACAACTTCTAAAATGCCACTCAAAGAAGTTAAAAGATTATTTGACAAGGTTACCTATGACAAAACAAACCTGTTACATACATGATATAACCTTGGCAATTTTCATGACTGGTTGATTATGTTAGGAAAATTCCAGTTTGATAGCGGTGCAAAATCTAGCAGACTAATTCAATGGACCATAAAGTGGAATCTCTAAAGTTTTCTAATTTACTCTCCAGTTTCTAATGTGGTCAATCAAACAGTTGTGTGAACAAACAAACTACACTTGATCTAGAGCAGATCATTATATCTAGCGCGCTCATTTAACTTATTCTGAGTTTCGTCGTGTCCTTGCTTCCACCCAGCTGACATGACAATGAACAGTATGTACAGAAAAGTAGATGTCACTTTATTAATGCAAGCATGGAACACCCGGATTTTTCACATCAATCTCATGATTTATGGTTTGATATATGTTCAACCTTTCTGTATGATAACGTACCTGTGAGCCATGCATGTTGTTGCCATTGTTGACCATGGACACGGTCCCCTTGGTCCTATGTTTTATCCTGGGATTTGACTCAATGTCAAAGTAGCGGGCTTGATCTCCATAGAGTCGACTGAGAGCATATGATAAGATCACTTAATATCTAGTTGGAATTTCATGCTTGAGGCTTGATACAACACATCAGCTGCTTCTTACAACACTCACAATGGCAAATTTACAATCTTGTGAAACAAGTGTTACACTGTTAGTCATGAGACAATAAATAAGGTAAATAATCAGAAACACAATCAATACCTATCAATTTATTAAACATTCATTCACATGGTACCCTTGCCTCAGTTACCAGGCCCAAAATGTTGTCAATTATCTTTATTGTAATTTACTTCATAGGTTTAAAACAAACCCCTTGAGTTCATTCCGGTAAAGGAAAATTACATGAAGAATTACACAGTTTAAGTTGCCCAAGAGGAATAGGAAAAGACACATACGTGAAGATGGATTCTCCACCTTTTCCAGTACCAGTTGGATCTCCAGTCTGGGCAACTAGTTGTTTCTGTTGAAAAAGATTCAGTTTATTTATATAACTAAATGTACCGTATTTAAACACACTGTAGTTACATAATCAGATTGACAAAAGCGCAAAAATTCACAGCTGAAATAACACAAACTTTGAGAACTCACCTGAACTGAGTGAAAGAGTGAAAAGTTGTAATACTTCACTTTGCATAGCTTCAGGAAATTGAGACAAGCTGAAATGTAAACATATTTTTATCAGCTTCCGCCCGTATCCCCCCTAGATTTTAACGACGAGGAACATTTCTTTGAGTGGCATTCTTAGAAGTTGGATATGTCTTTCAGTATGTTCAGATACAATTAAAAAACATGTTAAATATATATGCAGGTCATATGATTTGATTAGAATGAAATTTCAGGGGGGATACGGGCGGAAGTCTTTCCGTCCGCTAATGGTTTGTCATATCATCATCTCATATTCATAGTTCCTCGGGATAGCTGTTCATGATAAGCATGATCGTGAGAGCGAGTTATGCACGAAAACCGGGCGTCTTACACTTGGATGTGTTGCAATCATGTCGACATTATAAGCAAAGATCAAGCTTATGATGTAAGTTTACAGCAGTGATAAACGGAATTATATCTTACTTCTCGGTCGTTCGTCGGTGTATAAGTCAATAGTTACGTCGCCGAGCGACGTTTCAAGTACCACAGACATCGTTTTCCGAATGGAACCGGAACAGGAGTACAAAGATAATTTACTCGAACAAGAGGTATACAAGGGAGGTAATTTCTACAATAACTAAAATATTGGAAACCGCTTAAAATAGTTCTTAAGTGCACCGGACGCGCATCAACTATATCATTAACTTGAGACACATGGCAGTATAACCCCCATTACATATTTATTTTATTCTTAATGTACGCGGAATAACATTTATCTACATCAATGCTGATTCGCATCAATGGTCAATCTTGCTTGTGTTCAAATGTCTGTAACATCCCAGAATTCCCTAGAAATGTAAAAATGTTCTTCAATTCAGCATTTCTCGAATACCCCAAAGAGGATGTATATTCTTTCATGCAGCTTGACAGTTCCTTTACAATTTTTTTCATGCATTCTTTTAAGACAGTTCTTTTTGCCAATAAATTCACTCCTACATTTTGAGGGAAATAATTGGGTTTTCTTCCATAAACAGTTGATGCATGTACTACAGTCTTGTCATGCTCCCCTTTATGAAGGCAGGGCTCCCTTTTGTTCTTATATATATATAGATAGATAGATAGATAGATATATAGATAAATAGATAGATAGATAGATAGATAGATATATATATAGATATATATATATATATATATATATATATATAGCTTACTCCTGTTATGGGGCAGCATATATACATTGTACAACAATGTTTCATCTGTTATACATTGTACCTGTAAAGTCTGTGTGGGCAGTGGTGTGCTATATATTTAGACATGTCCTATAACTTCATAGGTATCTCCAGTGGTGCTGAGAAAGAGGTAGAACGATCTTGAAAGCCTAGTCTAGAATCATCTGCCTTTGAGACTATTGTGGAATCGTTTTTGGCATTTTCTTGGGTATATAAGAGAAGCAAGTTCTCTTATCTCAAGTCACCAGGAGACTAGCAGTGTGTGTAATGATCATTACCCTGCCTAGCCCTAGTTACAAGTTGGTTTCAAGCTGAGTGGAGAATAGTACCATCACTGTCTTTACTGCTGTTATTACTGCCCTCAGGGGCGTAGCTATCATCATGAAAAAAAGCCCGGCCTTACACATGATTGTTGCTAAAAAGGTTGGGCAAGTCCTCAATACTATCTAAATAAAAAACTTGGCAACCTATCGGGCTTACACGAAAATAATTGGCTTGCTACACGCCTGGCCCTTGTATATTATACTGCCTCTGTACTTGTATCACTACTCTATTTTGTACTGCCATAGTGATACCTTTGTAGACACTTGTATTGATTTGTGAAATTAGGTAATTTTGGAATACCGTACAATTGTAAATTAAATCACACTTCCTTTCCTTGTTGTTTCTTGGTTTCACACACAGATCTCTTACGGACAGATTCCTCAACTAATGGGAATCAACAAGTAGCACTCAAAATGTTCTAAATTATCATACACTAAAAATAATCAGTAAACAAATTAATTTCTTTAACAAAATCTCTACTGACCTTACTACAGGTAATAATATAGTTATACACTTGATCAGGATTCTGCATGCAGAGATGCCAACCCTAATTTAGCCCAATTAATATTTTGGCCAAAAAACTTATGCAAAAATTAATATTTTTTGGCCAAAATTAGTATTAAACTTTTCCAAGGGGTTTTCATATTAAATAAAAAATATATAGATATTCTAAGAGCTTGTTATTAACAGCGTACTCCTTTTTACTGCTATCGTAGTCGCGTATTTTGTGTTGTTTTTTCGTAACGAATACGATAAAATCGTATGGATTGGCATCTCTGTGCATGTTTAAACTCTCTCTCAAAGTTAACAAGTTTTGTTAGTTATCAGTGGTCTCTAAAATGAGAAAGTCTAGACTTGCTGTAGTTTAGGCTTTCTTGGAAGGACATATTTGTTTCTGGGTCAAGGTGGTATATTAGTATCAGTGATTGATTTCTTACCAGGTGCATAGCAAGCCATTTTATTCATGTAAGCCCCGATCAGTTGCAAAGCTTTATATTTAGATAGTATTGAGGGCTTGCCCAACCTTTTGAGCAACAATCATGTATATGCCCAGGCTTTTTCATAATGGTAGCTGCGCCCCTGGTTACACCTGTTGGGATTCCAGGTAAGTACATATATATACTAGCCACATAAAGAAACTGTGCATTGTCAAAAATTATCCCAGTTGATAAGTACGATAACAATGTCAAAGGTACATATAAACTTTAATGGAGGGATCATGAGACCATAACTAGTCGGGAGAGTTTCAATTGAAAAGTCAATCACAATGACGTCACGAGTCCACAAGCGGGACAGGGGTCAACCGACCATGTCACAAGCTCAATAACGGGTATGCCCACCATCGGCATTGAGAACAGCAGTGCATCGACGACGCATAGAGCCTATCAAACGTGCAAGGAAGGCTTGTGGGATGTCACGCCAGATTCTCTCAAGTTCTGTTGCAAGGTCAAGGACGTTATCTGGCGGATGAGGAAGACGGCGTAGACGTCGATCCATCTCATGCTCTATCGGGGAGAGATCCGGCGAATTTGCAGGCCAAGGCAGTTTAAGTCAACGTTGTGGTGTCGCAAGAAATCCATAGCAACCCTTGCCGTATGAGGGCGGGCATTGTCCTGTTGGAATGTTAACCCAGGGCCATGACGTTGCAGAAATGGAATTGCCACAGGTCGAAGAATCTGATCCCTGTAGCCCACACCAGTTAAGTTGCCCTGATCAATCACCAAAGGAGTTCTTTGGCGTGCTGTTATTCCACCCCAAATCATCACGGAACCACCACCAAAGCGATTCCTCTCCAAGACACAGGCCTGTGCATAACGTTCTCCCACGCGTCTATAGGCACGTTGACGTCCATCACTATGGGAAATGTTAAACCTGGACTCATCTGTAAAAACAATATTTCTCCACCAAAACAAGGGTCTGCGGACATGATTTCGGCACCACATTCGGCGAGCTTGTCGATGACCTTGTGTCAGGATAGGCCGTATGGCGGGACGTCGTGGTCTGATCCCGTGATAACGTTAACGTTGTCGAAAATGTGTTTGGGTGAATACGGCGTAGTCCTGGGATGGTTCGGGCAGTCACCACTGCAGTCTGAAACCTGTGGCGAAAATGGGTCACCCTTATCCATCTGTCCTGTCTTGGCGTTGTTATACGTGGACGTCCAGGACGTGGCTGATCGATGACGTCATTTGTGTTCTGGTAGCGTCTCACCAGTGCAGAAATGGTGTTCCGGTGGCAGTGGAAATGTGCAGCCACTTGTCGTTGAGGCATCCCCCACGGATCCCACGGACCATCCCAATGGCCTCATGACGTTGTGCAGAAGTGAGCTCTTGCCATGCTATGCGTTTCAATAGCCGAACGATAGCAAGGGCAGGGGTTGAGCTTTCCAAAGTGACAGTATTGTGTGGCATTCATTTGCTCTGTTTCTCTTTCCCGGAATGCACGTGCAACAACGTATTGCAGGTCTCAAGGACGAACCCACTGACGTCACGGAACGTGGCATGTGCATGCATGTTGGATACATGTCACTAATCTCTGAGTTTAAATCCTACTGTGTCTACACAGGTGTGATAAATTTAGATTTTAAATTTTTGTATGCACAGTTTCTTTATGTGCCTAGTATAGATCCTTGGCATCCCGGTCATGATGTTTCATCTGCATCGATCATATGCTTCTTAGTGTTCCCTGACTTGTTAGGTCTTGGTTCCCACATTTTGATTTTTAATTGGGTACCAAATGATGAATCGGTGCCAGATGTAATATTGGTGCTAGCTTGATATTTGCCAGGAACATTCACTCACATTCATGAGCAGCTTCTTCAATTCCTCGATAATTGGTTGACAAGGTGTGAGTGAGTGAGTTTAGTTTTACGCCACTTTTAGCAATATTCTGGCGGGGACACCAGAAATGGGCTTCACACATTGTACCCATGTGGGGAATTGAACCCGGGTCTTCACTGTGACGAGTGGCTGCTTTAACCATTAGACTACCCCACGCCCCTGGTTGACAAAGAAATATAGGAGACTGCCTCCACATTGTACTTCATGAATGTGTTCTGGTTTCCACATGACCCTCTCTTGACATGGATTTCTTCATGGCATTAAACCTTATCTCAAAGTTTAAAACATATTCTCCAGTTCTCCTGGTTTTGTGATTACAAATAACATTTGGACTTACACATAATTACATGTTAGCTTTATTACATAATGTACAATCAATGTTCAAGTATCCCTTTTTTGGGTTTCTTCTTTTTCCTTTTTTTCTTCTTCCCCTTAACGCCTGTTGTCTCCCCCATTTCCTTCATCAATTCTTCTTCCTCGTTATCTGCAGCCATGTCTGGTGTTGCCATGGCAATCATATCCTCCTCCAGTGCATCAGGGAGATCCTTTTCATCGCCTTTACACTCCGCCTGTAGAGTGGCCGACATCCGACTGTGGAAGTGTCTCCTCACTTACAATGGAAATAATACCAATAATGACATTAGTTATAACAGATTCATGTAGAGCTGAGGTGTTGCTGGGATACTCATGGCTACTTTTGCATCATTATCACCATGGTCAAAGTTCACTTAATTTTCATTCTCGTTAGGAAGTAGAAACGTTTAACAGTCACATTACCATCGTCTTGCGGCATTTCTCTGTGGATACACCCCCAGTGATCATCCCCCTTCCTTCTGTGGTCAGTACCTCGTTTACCATTGGTCACCTTCCCCCATCCCCCTTCCTTCTGTGGTCAGTACCTCATTAAACATTGGTCACAATCCCCCATCCCCCTGTGACCAGCAACACAGCCCCTATGTGGTTAGCACCCCTACCCCCCACCCATCCCAATGTCAGCACCAGTGTTCGAAATAGCCACTGGCCCGCTAGCCCGTGGCTAGTAAAAATCCAGTTCGGGCAGTAAATCTCCACAGTCACTGGCCCGACTGGCTAGTGAAGTTTCATGGGATCATTTTGTAAACACATGTATAATGTTATAATACACCTTTAAATCATGCAAGATTATGGCCTGATAAAAATGTTCATCATATTAGCAGCTTTATGATGAAACCTGTGCCTACACTTAAATTTCGGGCCAGTGAATAATTTTGTGGGCTAGTAATTTTCAGGCATAGCTAGCCCGTCTGGCTAGCAAAATTTGGAAACTATTTCGCACAGTGGTCAGCACCCACCTGTTGCACTTTCCCGGATGTCCCAGACCTTCATCTCCTTCTCCCCGCCAAACGCGAACACAAACGGGGCGTCAGGGCAGCTGCTGACACAATACAGCTCATTCTGCAGCACAAACACATTTCTATAAACAACTGGTGTTAAATTACAATTTCCGCTGATAAATCATGAATAGCAGATGAAACTAAGCAAAGACCAGACTTCATAGAGAATGATTTTATACACCATCAAACTCCTCCCAAAGTCTACAAGACTAAAAGAGTGCCCTTGAATGATAATTACCATTTTAAGTTCCGCTCCAACACCATTGATGGCTTGCCTGACGCAATGTCCCAAACCTTCATCATCTTGTCGGACGACGTCGTCACCAACAGCCCCTTTGTAGCACTGCTCAAGCTAATACCTGCAACAACAGCGTGATGATACATGCTGGCTGGACAATAGTTGGACCCATCACATGTGGAACTCCAATACTGGAACATAGATTATCACTATAAAACCCACTTTCTATAAGGCATTCTGTATTCGTAACATGTGTTATATTTGGGATTCACAAATCAACACTGCTACAATACTGCGATTGCTCTTTGCAAGGGGTCCTGGAAGCTTAATCTCAGTGAGGGGGTTGACACACAGGTAGCTACCTGGAAATCCATAATGCACATGTTATAAACAGGGCAACTGCTGGATGTCACTGCAAGATGAAGACCAACTGACTTGTGTAAGGAGACACCACATGCAACATGATTCAGTGGCAGGCCAGTACTGTAGCAGGCTACCAAACATGGGCCACCCTTCCACCAACTCCCCACTCTTTGTTTAACCTCACTTGCTTTATGTCCCAATCACTGGGTTAGTTGGTTGTTGTTTAACACCACACTCAGCAACATTCCAGCTATATGGCAACAGTCTGTAAATAATCGAGTCTGGACCATACAATCCAGTGGTCAACAGCATGAGCATCGATCTATGGAATTGTGATTCGATGACATGTGTCAACCAAGTCAGCAAGTCTGACCACCTATCCCGTTAGTCACCTCTTACGACAAGCATGGGTTACAGAAGACCAGTTCTAACCTGGATCTTCAAGGGTAGACTGTAGAATAAATGTGAACCTAATACAATGACGGGGGTTAGGGGCAGGATCACATGACTCCGACATGGATCAGGGATTGCACATTGGCTGGCTGGCTGAGTATGGTTTTACGCCGTTTTTAGCAATATTCCAGCAATATCACGGCGGGGGACACCAGAAATTGGCTTCACAAGTTGTACCCATGTGGGGAATCGAACCCGGGCCTTCGGCGTGACGAGCGAACGCTTTAACCACTAGGCTACCCCACCGCCCCGATTGCACATTGAGTTACAGGCACAGGTACGTAACAACCAGGCAGATCATGTCCCTGCTGCAGCAAGCAACTTTTCACATTTCATCACAAGAAAAGGCTGTAGACGTCCTTGAGACAGGGGAGATAACCAACCTGTGACAGCCTGGGAGTGTGCTGACAGCGTGAACACCGGCTTACTGTCGTGACGGATGTCCATGTAGTAGATGGTGCCTTGATCTGTTGTTACCTGTCAACAACAACATTATAATACAGACACTTTCAAACTTTTAAAAAACATTAGCATTTGTGTTGGGAAAACTGAATATTGTTACACTTCTCCATTTAGTGACAAATTGCATTTCTAACAAATAGCACATGAGGCACTCACAAAGAAGTTGACTGGGGACTGGTTGTTCCATAACACCTTCTCTGCCTCGCCCTGTACTGTCCAGGCCTTGTGATTCTCCTCCGGACTCCGACAGTCGTACACACGGGCAGTCCTAATACACAACACACACAAATAATCATCAGATCATAGACGTGTGTGTGTGTTTGTGTCCATGTATGCTTGTGCCATGTGATGCTGTGTGCTCATTTGAGTCCTCAGACACTACTGTTCATGCCAACCTGCCCTGTCCTCAAACACTACTGTTCATGCCAACCTGCCCTGTCCTCAGACACTACTGTTCATGCCAACCTGCCCTGTCCTCAGACACTACTGTTCATGCCAACCTTTGTTTGTACAAATTGCCTGGATCCAGAGCCATGCAATTATATAAGACTGTAACTGGATCATAACCCTGATATCTAAAGTGAGGAATCGAGCCCAGATCTTCGGTGTCACAAGCGAACACTTTAGCCACTAGGCTACCCCACTGCCTCTAATATCAAAAGACAATATTAGAGGTCTTAAATTTAAAATCAATAGAATACATCATGGACAGAATGATACCTCTTCATGAAAATCATGGGGCCTTGCCATAACTCTAATGTCAGAAAATGAAGATTGAGTATCATGAGGGGGTCCCAAGATTCAAATGCTATAGAAGGAATGAATGAAGCTGAATGGGTTGAGTAGGTGGACAGTCTGGATGTCTATATATTGGCTTTATGCAATGACTGTTGCTGTATATATTCAAACATGGCTGTTGTAACCATGCTGCTGCTCTCTGCTGCTCCTAATAACCAGTTTTGACATTGACTGCTTCTACTAAGAGATTCCCTTTTGACAGATCCCTCACTAACAACACTGCCATAATGTAAATGGCTTGTAATCCCAAAAATCTGCAACACGATTCCCATTTTCGGAGCTTTCTCTGTACTTATGGGGTTTGAATCATCAAGAGGATATAGATTTGTAGTTGCCATCAGTGAGTGCAATGCCTTACATAAATCTTTACCAGTCTTGTTTCCAACTTTATAAGTAGACATATTGTTGAACTATCTAGAACATTGACACACATATTTGAAGGCAAGTGTCTGGGAAGTGAACCATGCTGTATCTGGTGTTAGATCCAAGCACTTAGCTGAGGCATATTGAGTGTGATGAAGATTTGGATTTGGGAGTTGTTAGGAAAATGGGACAATCTGTAGCTCCGAGTATTGATGGGTCAAACTAAAAATCCTCATAAGGAGCAGCACATGATAGGTTTACCACGGCTAATTCAAACATTGATTCTACATTCATACAATTTGCTCATAGATATCAATCCAGCACAATGAAAGCAAACATAACCACATGCTACTGTTATGATGTCAGTATGAATCAATAAATATCACAGCTGTAGATAGACAGCACAAAGATGAAGCCTGCTGCTGTCCCTAAACTCTGTTGTTGACATGAACGCCCATCCACAGTGATTGAGGAAGCACATCCTATAAACATATGGTTATGCTGTAATACAAAGTTAAAATCAGCTCTTTCATCCCCATACTTAATATTATCTTTTAAAGCTGATCAGGTTATTCAAGACAATTGAGTGAGTGAGTTAGCTTTAAGGTGGCAGTCTGTAAATAATTGAGTCTGGACCAGACAAGCCAGTGATCATGAGCATGAGCATCGATCTATGGATTTGGGATACGATGACGTGCCAACCATGTCAGCGAGCCTGACCACCCGATCCCGTTAGTCGCATCTATGACAAGCATGGGTTACTGAAGATAAATTCTAACCCGGATCATTTGAAGACATTTGAGCCAGGTGTAGGGTGTATACTCACTGGTCGAAGCCCCCCGACAGGAGGGTCTGTGCCTCCAGAGGATGCCAATGTATCGCTTGTACCTGGAACACAGACGTCAGTTTGTCTCATTATGTGGCAATACAAACTGTTGTAAAAGTATTTGTAGTAGTTTCTGTGACAGCAAATGACTGAAAAGCTAGTGGATTGTTGAGTCCTGTTGGGGGTAGCAAGTGGAATTTACAGCAGTCTAAGTAAACTTAGGCTGAGTATTATTCGTTACACTGCTATACTGAGTCTAACAAAACCTAGTAAAAGGTTCCGCCAGCTAACCTTTGAGCGACCTATGACCGTCCAATCAAATGCGGGACGGCCAAAAGGATTTAACCAATCAGACACGGATACTGTTTAGGGTTCGACGGGACTTACAAAATTCTCCGGTCACTGACATTGATCTCTGAACAAACGATAATCTGCATAAAACACAGATATTTGACCTGCAGTATATTTACTCTTAGGGCTTTCTGATTGGTCAATTGAAAAGGTTAGCTGACGCGACCTTCTACTAGGGTTTGTTCAGTATAGCAGTGTAAAGAATAATACTGAGCCTAAGTTTACTTAGACTGGAATTTACAGTTACATTTTTGCTTGATCATTTGAAAGGTTTGGCAATGGAACAGTTGTGACAATGTAGTGACAAGAGGGAGAATCAACTCAAGTCATATATGCCAGACGGGACACCAAGTTGGTTCACAACAAATTCCTACCAGCTGCCAGGACAGTTCTGCATTCAAGGACAGAGACGGTCCTGTGTGAGTGAGTGAGTTTTAGTTTTACACCGCTTTTAGCAACATTCCAGCAATATCACGGTGGAGGACACCTGAAATGAGCTTCACACATTTTACCCATGTGGGGAATCGAACCCGGGTCTTTGGCGTGACGAGCGAACGCTTTAACCACTAGGCCCCCCGGTCCTGTGTGAAGACATTTGACAGTGACAAGACTCTGATTAGTGAGTTCACTTCCACTGCTTGTTTTCTGCTGTCACACATTTGACACAGTGGGAAGGGACATTGTACCCATGTAGAGAATACAACCACACAATAACAACTATATAAAGTTATCCAGGTACTATATACATATAGGTGTATAGTTGCTACTTGTTTCTTTAGAGTACTGCAGAGTGCTGTCAGGAAAAAAATCCAACTATTTACATTTTTTATGCAGATTGCATGAGACAGGCTACAGGTAAGACAGAACAAGCTTCCCTTTCCCTGAACACCTGGTGTCATCACTGTTGAATGTTTGGAGGATAAGTACAACAGCTTATTCTCCGATGTTGACATTTGATATATACCTAGATAAATGGGTTGTTCACCTTATCTGTGTGTTGTCTGATTGACGTGACAACCTTCTGCTCAGCTAAATCCCACAATGCAATAGTGTTGTCTGCTGATGCACTGGCAAGGACGTTACTGAAGCAGAACAAGTGATACAATTACTTGTAGCATAAATGTGAGGATGATAACCATTGTTTTTGAGTCATCATACATTTAAAATGAAACAGATGTTTTAAATTACAAAGAGTGCCTCTGGGCGTAACAAAATAACCTAAGTACCAGTCTAGTGCACTATTTTAATCTCAAATACAAAAATTATCACATATTTTGTGTGCAATATTTATAATATGATCATAGTCCCATATTGAAACAGTCATTAACCTTCCTTCCTCTATAAGAACTGGAACCAATTCATACATTTAACTGTGGTTCTTGAGTATAATTATCTATTGCCTCATGTTGATACCATGACGTACATTCTGCTTAACTGATATCAAACAATGATGTGTTGATCTGCTGGCAACTCACCCAACAACGGAATTCCAGGACAAGTCCAGCACCGAGTCTGTATGACTTTGTGCAGCTCCTGGCTGAAATGGAATGTAAATACTGGTATACACTACCATGCTCATTCTCTCACAGATCATAATACATGTCGTCATACACAATTCATACAATGAAAGGTACAAGTCTCTGTACACTTCATAATTCACTTCAGCATACACTTCATCATACACTTCAATGTACACTTCATCATACACATCATCAACATCATACTTATCTACATGCATCACAGACCAACTCTCACAAGTGATACTTTTGGTCCAGTCCTTCAACCATCACAAGTGATACTTTTGGTCCAGTCCTTCAACCATCACAAGTGATACTTTTGGTCCAGTCCTTCAACCATCACAAGTACTTACACGTTTTTTCTTCTTTTTGGACTTTTTTGAGCCAAGTACAGCTGCTGGTTCCAGACAATCCACCACATCAAGATTCCATATCTCTATCACAGGCTCCATGGTGGCCACAGCGGCATAGTTACCTGCTCAGTATCATCAGAGAGGAAGTTATTACATATCTCTAGTTGCCATGGATACCTGTTCTGTATCAGAGAGGAGGTTATTACATATCTCTAGTTGCCATGGTTACCTGGCTAGTATAGGAGAGGAAGTTATTACATAGCTCTAGTTGCCATGGTTTTCTACCCAGTATCAGAAAGGACCTTGTTAAATATAGATAATTGCCATAAGAGGAATCAGGCTAATTGTTGGATATGATGGAGTGTTTTGAGGATACCATGAATTGAAACCATTGGATACCAGTGAGAGTTGGGAGGAAACTGTGGTGAGCAGTGTTACCTGTTGAGGCATCTGTGGGGCTGAAGCTGAGCCACTCAACCGCCAGGGGGAAGGACGACAGCAGGTAGTCATGGTGAACAAACAGGTTGCCCAGCATCTCGTTGTACACTGGTGGATAAAACATGATATATACCACAGCAACAAGCTTTTTAACACAGCTTTAAGCATTATTTCAGTTATATACATATGTGTATTTATATCAAATTTTGTGTAACCCACATATGGTAAACTGCTCACAAACCAAGATTCACAATAATCTCGGACACCCCGAGCCATACAGACACACATACATACACTCAGAAGATACTGGCTATAGCAAGCAATGCACAGCAAATGTGACATCAATACAGCCCACCTTAGGCAGAAGGGCAAGAGGGTATTTTAAAGTTCAGATTTGTTTTTAGAATACTGCATGTCAGTATATTGTTTTTGCAATGAAATAGCACAGCCATGGGACATGTCCATGTTACAACAGCTGCATGACAGTTATCAAAACATGTCTCATTAAACTGTTCCAGACATGAAATATATAGGGTAACGTACCAAAGTGAAAACAACAAATACCATAAATGCAGCATTGTAAATAACAACATACACCAAACTATGATCATAACTAACTCAAACGAATAACTGATTTTAATTTGTAATAACTGTAGTTCGTGATATGCATGTTGACTAAAAATACAGCTTGTGGCCGTGATTAAAAAACAGTTGTTTGTATCTGTCAGTTTGGTATAAGCATGTTCATTACAAATGTAATGGGGCGCGGTGGGCGAGCTGGATAAGACGCCAGGCTAGTGATCCAGCGAGGTTGAGGCGTCGGGATCGACCCCACCTGTGACCGGGTGTAAAATACCTTGGAGTCAACTTTGTGTGCAGACTCTTTCAGTGTTGTCACAACCCCTAGTGTACAGTACACAACCCTGAGCCCTTAAAAGAACCCACGAATCCGCTGGTATATGTCCAGATGGTAGCCACGTGAATACGTGCAAACACCTAGTTTCGGGTACAGCAATGTGCAGTAAACTTGGACAAAGTACTGTGACTATGTGTCCCAGTCCACCCAGCTGTGAATGGGTACCTCGTTAGGATGAAAAAGCCACAATAACTCGGTGCGCCGAGTGGCTGCAAGAGTTGTATACTCGAAGAGTACTCTCTACAGGGAGTTGAGATTGATAATATGATGAGCCAGCGTCTTGAGCATGCACTACTGCGTGGATATGTGCGCTATATAAATGTCCTATAATAAAGAAATGTAGATTACTGAACTAGGATACATAATTACTCCTGAGTGCTACCCACAGAGACTTAACTCACCATACACCTCGAGGAAGCTGTGGTCCTTGTGTGCTCTGCAGGCAAGTACCAAGTTGTCCAAGGGTTTGATCTCAAAGTCTTCCTCGTCACTGTCAACCTGGAAGTAGAGTTCACATATGGTGATTCTCCAATAACTGTTCCACAGGAGATATACACAGTAGACTGTTGCTTCAAACTCTAGAGTTCATGTACAGTGATTCTCCAATAACTGTTCCCACAGTTGATACATACAGTAGACTGTTGCTTCAAACTCTACAGGGAGGTGTAGTATCTGGGGTCTGATTGGCTGCCTGGAATGCTGTTAGCATGTGACTGGTCAATTATCATGAATCTCAGTAGGGACTAGTTTCACTTGAACTAATGTCAGGACTACTGATAAGTCTAAACTCAGTGAACACGGAGTTTCCCATGTGTAGTGTGCATGTTTCTGTCCCATCTGTGTAGATAGGGGTGTGTCATATATAATACACACATAATGTAACATTAATGTTTTTACTATTGAATGAAATTTTGAATAAAATGGCTGAAACAGATAACAAAAGTCAAGATATATAATGAACATATATTATCAGATAGTTCAGTAATGAGATTAATTTGCATACTTGAGTAAAGATTTTGTTGACATGATATTTCTAATTTCAATCACAATTATGTTTGAAATATCAATAGATGCACTAACACACTGTTATTTACAGCATCCATCATTACCGCAGACAGATGGCATAGGAGAGTTACCATGGTTACAAACCTTGGCAAAGATTGCCATTTCCTGTCATAATTAACCATAGAATATTTCCAGATTTGTGATGTCCATGAAGGATATTGAAATCATTATTTTGTGTATTAAACTGTTCATCAGTATGCACCAATTGATCCATCCACAAACAGATCCAGCTACAAAAGTTCTCTGGAGTAGATGTGAGAAGAGTACAATGTTCACAGTGAACCAATGACAACACAACCTGTGACAAGCTCAATGGAGAGTTTCCATTGTTTTATTATCGACTCACATCTTTCGGCACTGTCACGTATGGGTCATCGTCATTACTGGCATAGAATGACAGGCCCCCCACACCACTGATGAGGACATCCTCTGGAAATACAAGGAACGTTGTAACTTCCATCATCAATATGTATGGACAATTGTCTTCCGTTTGTCTTGGACAACGATAAAACACTTGAAAATAGATATTGGTGGCATTCAATTCTCAGGGGACTCTTGAAAATTGGGGATTTCTAATTATAACTACAAAACCCATTTTCTCCCATACTTAGGGCAAGTCATGGAAAGGCCCATTGTGTACCTGCATGTCCTGTGTTAGTGCACTTCCAACAACCTGATGTCATGAAGTATTCAATGTGTATTGCACCTACAATCTTCGTTTGATGTCATCCAAGAAAATTGTTATATGATACAATTCCCATATCTGGCTTTCTCACAGACATGCCCCCATGAGATGCACAGACAAACCGCAAGTGATTGTAAGGGAGATAATGACACAAAAAGTCAATACTAGTCGCTAACAAAATAGACAAAACAAAATAACAAATCCACCTTGCATACTGATGGCATAATTTCTGGCCACAATATTACATTCAATAACTACTGATATGCAAAACCACTCATGTCTTCCTGAAGTGAGTTTACAAAGGCCTAAAATGTCATGTACAGGAACTGAAAAGACCTAAACATGGAGTTAAAGAAACTACCCACTGAAAAGATGCATAAATAAGGTCACCTAAATGTCAATAATCCACAAGTTTTACCAGCCTTTAATGGTAATGCTAGTAATGTATATATCCTAATCATGCTAATCAAATAAAAACAAAATTGTTTGTGTGTCTGGTAATTTGAGTGGTATCCAGGCTGACTTCACCATGTAGGTGATGTTGGCGACATTTGCTACATGACAAGGAATAATTACAAATTATTACATTTTAATGACATAATCATGCTAATGGTGAAGTATATTATAGCACTGTGTTGCCTAACAGCATGATCCGGGACAAACGGGACAAACACTAATACCATCGTTCTCATCATCATAATCATCCAGGCCATATTTGGATACAATGTCCTCCTCTTCTTCTTCTTCTTCTTTCACCTCTTCATGTTTCCGTTTTTTGGCTTTCTTCTTCTTTTTTGGTTTTTGACTTGCATCCTCTTCTTGTTTTATTTTTACATGTCCACCCACGGCTTGCAGCTCATCATTTTCCGGCTCATCTTCATCTTCCAGTTCATCTAAATCACTGGACAAACAAGGCATTGTGACAATGAAAAAGCACAGCTTTACTAACATGTTGGTATGTGAGGTGAGGTAATTTGAGTCAGTCAGTATACTGTTTACATCACTTTTACACATATTCTGTACTTTACCGAGAAAGTGAAATCCCAAATACAACATATGTTACATTTGACCACTTTCAAAAATGGCATTGTGTATTCATAACTTTAGGGATGCGATGAAATATGTCGGATGGGTTACATACTCTCTAGTCGCCTCAATGACTCTCTCCAAATCCTGTCTGTCAAGTTCAACCTGAAAAAAATATGCAGATACACACAATTATCCTCAAATTGCTTAACATCTTGCTCCATGGTCGAAATTCTAGGCAAGATAGATCTCCAGCAACCTACGTTGGTTGTAGGATGCTACCAATGTGGATATATTGTACAGATCATGCAGTATATTGGTTGGGTAACCCAGTTCTCAGTTCCCATCTGTATGTCCAGCAAGCATTTACCTTACTCACATGTAAACAAACACCATTACTTAACAGTGCTGACAAACATGACTACCAGTAACTAAAGTTTAACTGATCTGTAACCAAAAACTGGAGACCTGTATCCAACTTTGGATGATTTCAATTTATCTTTATCCCAAATTTGGATAACACATGAACCATATTGTTATCCGAAACCAGATTGCTTTTAACAGTATAGGCCTAAAAATGACAAAATAAAATAAATGTTTTCAACAGCACTACAATCTTAAAAATTCTGACCTGTACTTTGATGGCAATATATTCATAGCACTATTAATTTTCCAAAATTCATTCATGATACACATAAAATATTTATTCACTTTACAGAGATTGGATTGCAAATCACTTTGTTGTGGTTTCACTTATCTTGTGACTGACGACATATGATGCTGTTGATGAAATGATGTTGAAATAAAATTAAAAACAAAATGAGCTCACAGCAATAAACAAAGATTTTGACCATTTCCGTAAATGACTTCTAAATGACAATTAAATTTAAAGACTTTAAAGCACGTACAGCAAAGACTTTCTTGTGTTACAAGATACATGATGAATCCATGGAGCATACGATCAGCTAAACATTGTTTGTATTCACACACCCAAAATGTTCCTGGTTTTAAGTAGAAATATCTTCCACACATTATTATTTAAATATTTTGTTGACACGAAGTGTCTCAGAAAATACGTCCCACTGGAAAAAGCCAAATAATATCACTTATCTGCTAATGTTAGTTTTTAACATAACAAACTGAATATTAGTTAGAGAGTTTCAAATCTGTCTCTTTCTCTGAGAATCTATCATTACAGTTTAACAGCTCTGCCGATGACACGGCGATGTTGTTAGTAAATGAAAATCGACTGATTTACAAAACCTTACCTTGTGTGGATTTTTTTCTGCAGCACCTCTTTTCACCCACGCAAGACAGGGAACTACATTCATTGTCGATATGTTTTGGAATCGTAGTTAAAATTTATAAACAAACCCAAACTTCGCCATGTGGACAAACCGGATGTTAAACGAAGTTATCGTTCCTGTATACTAAGGGCGACAACCCGTCAATTAGAACAAGAGACCGACAGATTTTGTGTTCGAACCAGTATCTATGCATATTATAGACAATAGCACCGACCGATGTATAAGTGCCATTTTATAGAACTTGATAAGAACTTATAACTAGTAAAGGACTAATATCGTGTTGTTGTTCGTGAATATCCATTTCTTTATTGTAGCTTAGGTGAAACAAAATCAGTGGAAGTCGTGATGCTTGAACTCGTGTGGTTGGCAAAACATTTCAGATATATCATGGCATGTTTTTGTTGAGAGGAATGCCCAAATTGATGTAGGCCATCATATAACTAGACGTCTTTGCGCTATACCAAGGTGTAGGCCTTGGCTGGAATTCCATATATATATGAGTTTATTCAAATATGAACTAAAATATTGATACTGTACTTCTGAAAAGGGGTTGCTGACAGACAGCTGACAGTCCTGATGGGTTCGAATCAAGTCATTCATGACCATAACATATCATGAAGGGTCATTTCGATATTTTTGTGCTTAAAATAAGGTTTCTTGTAAATACCAGCGCCTTGAGTATGCACTAGTGCGTGGATATGTTCGCTATATAAATATCCAATAATAATAATAATCTCAATCGGGCTCCTTTTAAAGTTAAATGGGATTATTTGTTGCTATCAAAAATATAAATATTCAGAGACTAAGCTTTAGTCTAACCCAGAGAGATATGGATATGCTAATTACTACATCTTGTTTTGTAACCTATGTTGCACCTCATTTTGCATTTCTTACAAAAGGATTAGTTGTTTATATAGAATGAGGATGATTTTGGATATGTTTTAAGTGGGCGGGGGACTGATCAATATACTTGCACCTGAATGAACATCACCACTTTTGGGTATGTTTTTCATGTCTGAATGTCAACACTTTACTAAAATGAGCATCACCTACGCAGAGAAAGCTTTTATATTTAAAGTCATATGAAAAAAAAAAACCTCTCTGGAAAATCTTCACTCATGTGAGAGGCACCTTATACCTTGATCACCTTGTACTTACGAACATTAAGATCACCTCTGGGTAGTCTTTACTGGCATGAGGATTATCTGTTCTGCACACATGAGAGGATGGTTCTCTCTGACAATGTTGACTCATCTCTTTGCGGACATGACTCCGCAGGTTCTGTATTGAACAGTACACATGGTCTTCTAAAGAGCATCTGCAGAATATGTCTTCAGGGTACAGCTAACAAGATGTTCAAACTTGTTTTTGTCACCTTTTAGTCTTGTGCAGAATATTAAGATTAAGACTTAGTTGTTACTTTTAGCTTGGGAGCCTGCAACAGCACACCAAGAATGATGTGTAACAAGCATGCACACCCTGTTCACATAACCAGGTGTTAGCTCTGTGTTTAGGCCACTTTGAAAAGTATTTCAGCTATATCATGGCATGTTTTTGTTGTGAGAAAAACCCATAGTGATGTAGTACTTTTGTGTATTGAGTGTAATCCCTGGGATGTTCATCAGTCCGATTCCAGTTGTTTGAACCTGGTGCACATGTGCCCAGAAAATGACACGGCTTGACCCACTTGGTCAACTGTACTCAGTTTGATGTCATGGGACATTACATTGTGTCCCAATACATTGTAAGGCCTGGATAGCCACTGGAATGAGCTTTTAGCAATATTACAGCAATATAACAGGTGACACCAGAAATGGGCTTCACACATTGTACCCATGTGGGGAATCGATCCCAGGTCTTCGGCGTGACAAGCAAACACTTTAACCACTAGGCTACCCCACCATCCCTGAACACTTGAACCCATCTTTGAGTTTAGTTTTTGCAGAAATACATAATGGAATTTACTTATGAAATGAAGAGTTCAGTAAAACATACTGCATGTCTAGTCATATTTAAGTGTTAACATTTTCCTTTGTGAATATGTGCACTTCAAAGTGAATATGGTGCAGCCACTCATATAATACTATTATTCCAGCAATATCACGTCTTGGCTTGGGACTTGCCAAAATGGGAATTATGCATTTGACTAATGTCGGGAATCAAATCCATGTCTTCAGTGCAAAAAGCAAACCTTTGTTTCTGATTGAATAGTGGTATGATTCAAAGTAACATGTCACTATATCAGTGTAACACAGTGCTACAAGTGTTTTAGTGTAGGACAAAGCTGCTCTTGAACATGTTAACATGCGTTTTGTGACCTGTGCACTGTACACAGGGTATATGCCATGACAAACACACTGGATCCATTCACCATTACATCAAAGTGATGTCACCAGCTCTCTCATCACTAACATATCAGAAAATTTCTTTAGTGCATGAAATCATTATATCTATAACCAATAAAATTATCTCTTCTAAACAAGTTGGATATAGATCTACATTCAAAGCTTCATCCTGGCCGATAGCAGGCACTGCCAAACACATCATAGTATTACATACAAGGGGCAGGGACAAGATGATGAAGTATTTGAGACAGTATATTACAATATCACCACTTGTTTCAATCATATGACCAAAACATTCATTTGATTCGGTTGCTGTTCAAGGCATCATGCCACTTGTACCAGAATCAAAACAAATGTTTGGTAGAGATTTGGCCTCAAATAGAATTGATGATATTCTCCATTGATAAACACGGATGCCCCAAGGTATGTCTCTTTGACTTGTGTAGCCCACATGTGAAGAAGAGAACCATTTATCTGATGAATATGTTAAAAAATGTGCCACATGGTTCTATTTAGGTCATCTCCAACAACTTCAGAAATGGAAAACAATAAATCCAAATTCACAAAAAGTATTTATTAAAATTAATGTTGATGAACAATGACACAACTTGAAAGATCCCATTGTGCAAATTTTACTACAACAATTGACATGTGAAAAAAATGGAGATTTTTTGCTCTGAGATAAATACAAAGACAAGGAATAACAGGGAGATATTAACAGTACCTAGACTTTTCCAGTCGCCAGCAGCTAGCTTCTAAACATAAATTACAAATACTGTCAAACATGAAAATAATGAATTGTAAAGTGACCAATGAAAAATGATTATGTAGAAACCATAGGATCTGATGCCTATCACATGACCTGAGAATGACATGACGATGGTCAATGAATAATAACAAATGATAGCTGCAGCAGCCATAGCAGCAGTCTATATGTAGCAAGTAGTATTATAGAATTAAATTAATGTATAATATGCAACAAGGGTTGATTCTGCACCAAACATTAATTTCATTGTAAGATGATGATGAATCAGCGTGGTTGATGATGTTGAGGGATGAGGAGGTCGCAGGGTGGAAAGATGGATTTGCGGCAGCCACGTGTGGGTGGCTAACAGCCATGGCAGTTGATTGAGACATGTACAGCTCTACAGCTGCAGGCTGCGGACTGGTTGCAGGCAAGCAGGCAGGCTAACAGCGCCCCCCTAGGTGTCATGGAGGATCTCCCACAGGCAGTTGGCCAGAGCATTAGATGCCTCAACAGCACTCATTGTTTGGTAGCTCAAGTGACGTTCTCGCCTTTTGATTAGGCTGAAAGAAATGAAAAGAGCAATTAGATGTACATGTATCCTCAAAACTGATGGGTGAATCATTTTCTTGTTTAATTTTTTTTCAACATCATTTCATCAACAGCAAAAACTGTTTGAAAATAATCGAATATTATGTCAACCTAGATCTTCAGCCTTCAGACTACACTATATCATGAATCCACCTGACCACCCAATCACAAAAGAGGCCTTTATTCAGGATCATGATGAATCTGTGATTCAAACCAATAACAAACATGGCCTTTCATTACAAAGGGACACAACTCTGCACAGATATCTGAGACACCTATCACCCATGCCTTGACATGTTGCTGCAGTGTGTGTTGGATAGGAACCTGATCAACACATGCCTATGGGACACAAAGCTGTATACAGAATCTATACACCTCATCATTAGAGCTACAAAGTGTACCAAGTGGAAGCTTACCTTCGTCCAAGGGCTGAGTATCTGGCCAGGTTCCTCAAAATGAGAGCTGCAGTCAGGCGGATGTGTTTTGTCACTGGGCCTTCTCGGGGTTCCTGTAAAGAACAGGATTCTGTCATGGACCAGTCAACTTGACTTTGCATATTATATTAAGAAGATCAGTGTTACACAGAGAGGTTACAACTAACTTCTAGTCCGTTTGACTTCATTTGAGACCGATGAATTGCTCACTAATACATTATCTAATAAATGCAATAAAATCAAACTTTGCACAGTCACATGAAATCGACAGACCAACTCTGATGATTTGTCTCATAATTTTGGACACCTGAATAAAAAGGTTGTTTAACAAACAATCATTATTTTGTTGTCACTTTCCACTATTTCTTACGAGGGGGACACTTGCTGGTAGAACAGCCAGGTAATCAACAAATGTGTGAAATTTCAATTTCACACATGCAACTCGCACGACTGGCTGTTCTACCAGCAAGTGGTCTCTCCCTCGTAAAAAACAGCGAACAGTGACAACAAAATAATAATCGTTTGTTACGCAACTTTTTTTATTCGGGTGTCCAAACTTATGAGGCAAATCATCAGAGTTGGTCTGTTGATTTCATGTGATTGTGCAAAATTTGGTTTTGTTGCAATTGTTAGATTTTGTGTTAGTGAGCAATTCATCGGTCTCAAATGAAATCAAATGGACTGTAATGGCAGTTTATTCATCTTTGAAATCCATCTTGGTATCAGTAATCAGAGAGACTGACACAACAATATATCAAGTAAATGGTGCTGTTTGTAACTGTGTTACTCCCATGATGAAGTGTTACTATGAACAATATGCCCAAACAGCCTGTCAACTACATGATTGTTCCCAACAAATGGGGAAAAGCCGATGTATTGCACTTGGTTGGTCACTTGGGACAGTTTGAAAAGTAAGACATCATTGTAATATTCCTGTGAAATATGTTGGGAAGAACAAGCAATCCTGCAATAGGTGTGCAGAGTATCCATACACATGCATCACATTGTATGACAAGAGTTAAACCTGTGTCAATGCACAGAGTATGGATATGTTGTTGCAACTGGAATCACTTTACACTCCGTCAACAGACTGATTCTCAACTCAAGAGTAATACGAAATATGAACAAATTAAAGACAAGCACTTACACTGAACTCTGGGAAGGGTGGTTTTGGAGTGAATCGTTTGATTGCTTGCATGGCTGCATCATTGGGGTAGACCATGGTTGTGGGTGTTGTAATGGCTGGGGAGGGCTGACCGGTCTGTGCTGCAGTGATGCGACGTTGATGCGCTGCTCGCAAAGCATGCTCAGAACAGTGGTGGTCCTGGATCATGACAATACAGATACACGAACGAATTAGAAACAATTTTAATATGTACTACACATCTTTCATGCAAGAATTCAGAAACTGAAATATTTACCTTCAACTCTGTCATGTTGATCAATAAAATGACTAGCTAAATGGTAAGCTGATCTCCTAGTTAAACTGTGGTCCTAAGTTGATCCTTCTGTATGAAAAACATATGTCTGGTACATAAGCCGGACTACATAACTACGAACATTTTCTCATCATGATCAATCATTAGAAATAGAATATCAACAAATTTGTATTGAATCAGGCAAATTAAAATATTTCATTTATTTCATCAAAAATTTTTTTTTTAAATTCCCCAATGTTAACAAACATTGTGGTGAAATTGTGCGACCCTTTGATACCAACAAATTTTGTATACACCATGCCAAAGGATTTGCTTACCAAGTACCACGATATTCACAGGAACCACAATCATATTGCAATTACTGCCTTGTAACAAACTGTAGTTGACAGAGAATACAGATACACCTATAGCATGACATACTAAGACTCATCAAAGTCATATACTATACTATTTTATATCACTGCATCAAAATTCATTTCCATTATATAACTGAATGCGAATAATTTCTTAATCCCTGAAACTAAAACAATGCCTAGCACATAAACAAGTACCACTGAAATGATCAATCATAAAGTCTAGTGATGTTCAAAGGCAAATTTCACATCTTCATTGACAAAGTCTTTTTCACCTTTTTCATGTTTGTTCACCGTAAGTGATATGATGTAGTTTTTTCACCAACAGAAAAATGATTTAGTGAAAGTAACATTTACATAGGCTGACCCTTTTCTACAGGATATTTCTTCTGGTCTTAAACATTCAGCTTATCTACAGGCACATGCAGTTAGCTGTTTGCCACATCAGTCAACAATAATCCATATGTTTGCTTTTCATTTCGCTTCATATGGATTTAGTTCGGAAGTTTTTGGTGAATGGATAGACCACTCCAGAGGCCCAGATAAGCTGCACAGAAAATTTCCAATTACGCATTGAAAAATAATTGTTGCGTACCAACTACGCATTTAAAATGTTAGATACGCATAAAGTTTAAAACAAATGCGTACGGAATATATTTATAAAAATCGCTTGCGTAATGGAAAACACATCGATTGCTATCAAGTTGTACTGTTAGTACAGGACTAGTGTTGTACTGTCAGTACAGGATGAGTGATTTTTTATGAAATCATTTCCATTATATTTAACTTGGTTTTGATTAGGCATGACATAAGGCAGAACATAACTGCTTAGAAAACTTACTCAATGACATATACTTAGGTGAGTAAAATCACTAACATACTCACATATTTGAAAGTGGTGGGTAACGGAAAATGAAATACCCACTCAACATTCATAATACCCACTCCAAAAAAATACAGTGGGTACAGTACCCACATGAGCTAAATCTTATCTGGAGCTCTCCATTTAATACTTTTGGAATAAAGTTTGTGTCTGAGCATAATTAAACATTTCAACATTTGCTTGAATGTAAACTGAAATGGTAAATTCTTGAAAATGTGCTGCATGTGACCTGAAATCTTGGGTCATAGTCTCTCTTGCTAAAATCATATGTGATGACTCTCCCTTCTGCCAACAAAGGTACAGTTGAGACATTCTATAACACTCCCTCATATTGCAGTGTACAACCTACATTTACATAAATGTTTCCTTACAGATGTGTACACAAAGAGTCAAGAGAATCTGTTAACCTTCTGCCCAGGACACAAACTCTGATGTTTGTCATGCCTGACATTATCACTATGCTAGTTTGGGTGAGTGGATGAAGCAGTGATGAACTCACCTGACAGTGTGTGACAAGCGACCATCTTTTCCTCTTTAATTTTTCACAGCCAAGCCAGCGACAGATGCCATCAGTGTCAGAATCAATGTGTGTGCGACTCACATGAATAAACACACTTCGAGCACTATCAAAGCACCTGTTCAAGAGACCAACAAGACATATGTGACATTTTGAATGATAAATGATAAATGCTGATGAATGATGTCAAATAAAGAATATATGCTGAGATTGTTGTAAAAGAACTTAAGTAGAAACATCTTAGGATGTTTTCCCAGCAAATCCTAACATCACACTTCTAACTGGCACACAGTGAAATGATTCAGTCGGGTTTACTGTCAATTTGAACAGTGTAACAGTAATATCACAGGTAGTGACAATTCAAGAGCTATTTAACCCCTTAAGTGGAACCCAACAGCACAGATTTGGCGCTGACACACTAAGAATTATCATCACAGTGAACTTGTGATTCACATCAGCAAATCCTGGCATGGCCAAGAGAGGCAATCAGACAAATTCACAATCCCACCTCCCCCTTCAAGTGTTTACTATCAGAAGAACTCTAAAAGCATTTTTCTTAAAATTTAGTTAGTTTACCATAAAGAAGACATCAGAGTTGTGAATTCAAACAGAATCCTTACTTTTTACAGCTATTCCATTCGCACATATACTCTGGAGTGAGAGGGACCATGACAACGGAGGTTCGAGATTCCTGGCTGCTGGTGCTGGTGTTGCTAGCATTGCTGCGACTGCGCTTGCGTGGCTTGGGCTTCCCTGTAGCCTTGGTATTGATGGAGGCAGTGGTAGATGTTGCTGTAAATGGTACAGCTGCTGCCTTAAGTGCAGTGTCTTTCGTGGTGGTGATGATGACACCGCTTGTCATGTTTATAGTGGAATGTTTGTCACCCACAGACTCTGCTGTGGAGGAAGCAAAGCTATCAGAGCTCAGTTCACTATCCCGAGAAGTTTCCGGAGTCGGGACATGACGAGTATCACAAATTTTTTGTTCCAGTTTTTCCATGGGAATTTCAACTTTCTCATGGTTTTGTTTACACAACTTAACGTCTGAGTTTTGATCTGAACGTGTTTGTGAAGAGCTATCAAGTTCAGTCTTTGTGACAGTCACAGAAACACAAACATTGTTTTCATTCACAGTAGTCTGAATGTGTGTTGCATCACCTGTCACAGGTATATATGCACTGTTGCCGTTCATGCCCTGAGAGATGGAATCCCCTTGAACCCCAGGGGCTTGTAACCTAACCTGCTCCCCAGGGAGCGGTACCCTCTGTTCATCCCCACCCCCAGTCTTGGATTGCACACCCACATTACCCCCCACCTCCATATCTTCTTCCTCACGGATATGGTCTCCATTCCCAACATGATGGACAATTCCATTCAACTTTCCAGTTTTTTCCACAATTTTTAACAACTGATCCTTTGTTAAGGTCTTTTGTATGGAATCATCAATGATTTCATCCTTTACATCATTCACACCATTTAGAAAAACCTTGTCTTGATCTACTGCCTCCTTGTGTGTGTCAACTGGAGATGGCGGCAAGTCCGAGTCCCGGTTGAAGGGGGAGCTCAGATCGCCATTCATCACTGGTTGTGGAGCAGTAGTCTGCTTCACCACACCACACACAGTTTTACTGTCAGAGATTGTTTTCAGCATATCTTCCTTTGAACAATGATTCCCCACTGTTTCTAATGTGTAAGAGTTTGCTGTAGTATCACTGTTAATATTATCACTTGGTATGTTCTGGTTATTTGAAACATATTCAGCTTTACTGTGAATGTCTTCTTGGGAGGGTATGGAATCTGACACATCTTTCGGGGCCACAACATTGGAAGAAGTACTGACAATATCATTGGCTACTGCCCTATTGGAATTCACTTCAGTCTGATCAACTGCAACAGAATTTAATTCAGCAGATTGAGAGTCCGTGTTTTCGGGAGGCATCAAGATTGCGGACGGTTTAGGCAAAGACTTCTGAACTTTCTGCCACTGCTGCAGGTTTCGGTTCTCAACACGTTCTATGAAAGCTTCAGCACCTGACTTTACAATATCCTTGGCTCTCTCCACTTCACCACACACCTCCAGCTCGTAAGCCTGCTGCGACCGTGGGGAGGCAGCACGTGGTGAGCAGGGGCGGGAACCAGAGGAGGAGGTCTGGGATTTGGCTTTTGGGGAAGATGGGTGAGGACTACCAGGACCTTTTTTGCTCTTGGCTGTTTTTGAATTTGTTGTAGGAGTCTTTTGTGACTGACTAGGTTGTTGTGCGGCTGGGGATGCTGGGGCGAGTGGCACTTGGTGAATTGATGTAGGCTGGGGAGATTCTGGTTGTGGTTGTGGTTGTGGCTGTGGTGAAATTGGATTATGATTATTATGCTGTACAAACTCATGATGTGTGACCACTTCTGGTGCAGTCTGAGGAGTGTCAAACTGTTGTTGCTGCCCGACACAAATGTCAGTGGTAGGTAGAGGGCTGGGCCCCTGCAGATCAACACAGGGATTGGCACTGCCAGATGAAGGATCTTGACTAGGTACTGGCTGAGGGTTACGGCCGACCATATTCTGACTAAGCTTTCTTGCCAGCAAACTTTTGATTAGATTAGTATCTGATGATTTTTGTAAGACCTCTAATGGCAAATCACTCAGATTTGACAAAGACTTTCCATCAGCCTGCAAGGCATTGTGAATAGTGGGGAAGTTCTGAGGAGCTTGTGGCACCCCGGGAACCACTCCTGAAACTAGAACAACCTGATCTCCAGGCTTGGGTGCTATGCCTTTACCAGAAAGAGGTGACTGCAGCTGTTGTTGAAGGACTGATTTGGGCTTGAGTGTTGGCAAGTTGGGTTGGGGTAGGGCCCCCACTGGAAGTGGAGCTTCAAGTGTCTGAGCACCAGCTGCAGCTGTTAATGTCTTCATGGCGGCTTTGCTTTTACTCTTTGCTGTAGGTGTCTGAGCCTTGCCTGCATCCTTCTGTCCTGGTGTGCGAGTACCTGCATTAACAAGTTGCTGATGTAAAGCTATCCGAGGGGGCTCCATCAGACGCTGTCGGAGCGTGGGAGTTTGAGTTAAGTCTACCTGAGATGTGTTAGCACTTGTTGGCGAGCCATGAAGTGAGTTGACAGTCACACTACGGGATTTAGGAACTGAAAGCAAGAAACAAAAGAAAAGTGCTACACAACACACAAACACTAAAATGTGACTAAAAATAAGAAATCTAGAAATGATTAGTTCACGGTACAACACAATTTAAGAAAACAGCATGCAAATGTGGTGAGGTAGAAACTTGAAATGGAACCCGGTTAGTCATCTTATTGACTCCTCAATCAACTTTTGGCTCAATTTGGCTCAGAGTGCATATTATTTACAGAAATTTCTGCCAAACAATATGACTACAATCATTTTGTTATGATGGAAGTAGTGAAAAAGCCTTGGAATTTGATACATGCATTAATAGCACATGACATAACAGTGTACAACATCCAACATGCAACATGAACACTTGAACAGTTAGTGTACCAGTTGAGTACTGTGCAGCTTGCAAACTGTGACCACTAGTACCACAACCACTGACCCACAATGACATCAATGTACTAGTTGCAGGCATCAGCCTCATTATTGTCAATGAACAACAATAGATTAACACATCGTCCCTTAAATGTTGAAAAGGGTTATACATGAGGGGCAGATCATCTTACAAATTTTAGAAAACTGGGATGTAATATCATAATCAAAATACTTGCACCATATGCATAAAAGACAGTTACATCCTTCAAAATGGATTGTACATAATTTTCTGCAAGAACAGGTCTAAAGCCAGGTCTGTTCAAATGACTTAATTTACTAAATATTGCTGATAAAATATGGCTGCTGAGATAGCTGTGTCAAGTTTCTGTTGCATTACATCAGGTATCTTTACAACATCACTGAAGCCCAATAAGTCTGAATTGTTTCAAACGACTCTAATACTAGTCTAATGTTCATGAAATGTGAACAAGTTAATTACATGTTCATCTAGAGCTTGTACACAGCCAAAGTTACTGAGAATCTTCAAAGACATAGGTTACTAGACGTGATGTTTACCAAAACCATGCAACAATGATATAGCTGGTTCTCACACATACATCGTGACAAAATGAGTAACACACACATTCTTCCTCCCAAACAGCCCCTCCCACTACCCGTGTTAGTAAAAGAACACATAGTGGTTGAGTGAAGCAACTTAACCATGCAAGTGTAGTGTGGTGGTCAACTTCTTCTGCTCAATGCTAACAACACAGCTGGCATTTGGAGGCCAGAATTTGAACAGTAACTGTGTCTTTTGTTAAAATGTTTTAAATAATCTATGAGACGGAACTGAAATACTGAAAACTAGAATAATGCATAATTCAAAGCAAAATGAGAATCAATAGCCAGAAGCTTAAACCTGGATCTAATATGGAACTAGATAATAATACACAAGGCTTTGTTGTGAACAAGTTGCCCACATTTCACAAGATAAAACACTTTCCAAATATTGTTACTTTTTTCAAACAATTAGGTTGAAGGTACATTAACAGACTGACATTATGAGGTTTGTTTGCTTCTTAACGAATCAATGGTCAGCAATATTCCAGCTATGTGACAAAATCAAGGCTGAACCAGAAAACAAGTCAATGACATGCTGAGCAAAGTAACATAATCAACCAAGTCACCGAGCCTGACCATCCAATCCACGTAGTCGCCTCATAAAAGAGAGGGCTGTAGGAAATACAACAGGGACCATACCTTGGTGAAATGTGTGATAACCACATTACAACATTCTAATGATGGGGACTGAAATAATAGACGTCTTCAGATCTTCATTCAAATCATAATTACAGATGTGATCTTTGGCTCTTATGTAGGATTGATGTGAGTGAACAGTGTTTAACACTGCTTTTAACAGCATTCCGGTTAAACCACGGCGTGTCAGGCTGGTTTTGGAGGACAGCTCTAAGTGCTGCACGTGAAACCCCCACACCTGGGTATATGGTGCTGACGAACTTAACAACACAACTAGGGTCTTCAGTCTTATAGAGACCCAGCACAGTGCTGTCTGATATATGCTTCTTACCTGAATGAGTAATGGCAAATGGTTTTTGGTTGGTCCTCTTAGCCAAACCAATAAAACAGATTTCTTTCTCTCCATTTGGTTTATCTTTACTGGTGAGCTCAGCCTGGGGAAACACAACCCTGAAAATATAGAAAAGGACATTGTGGTTCATAACAAAAGCAATTAACAGATACAATTACATCTTGTGTCAGGGTGTTCCATATAGGTTGTGGCTACCCCGACACAACTAGACCATATCCTGACAAAACCCCTTTTGCCATAAGCTAATCGTCTATAACACTGAAACATTATTGGTCATTATTCGTTACTTGAGCTAAACAATATTGTTTTTGTGATGGAATGAAGACAAAAGTTTTTTTTCCCATGAATTTCAGCAATTCCGCAGAGACTAGCACATATGTCCCCTTCACATCTCTATAGTGTTATGATTCACTGAGATCATGAATAATACAGACAGGTCATGTATGTAATAGTTAAGGAGGTACATCTAAACGTACTTGACAAGATGCATGAAGTCTGTTGAGGTGAGAACTTCAGGTACTGAGTACTTGCGACAGAATTGAAGGTACTCTGCCAACAGATCCATTTGAATCACTTTCCCACTTCGACGGTCTCGTAAGTGGCTTGTAACCTGAAATTGTAGAAAGATAAATGTCATTATAAATTACCACAATCAGTGATTCATACAGCTATCAACAGACAAATAGCCACATCAACTAATATTATCATTCAGAACAAACAAACACAGCCCTGCTAGATTTGACTTGGCACAGCAACACAAACTCTATCTGATTCCAACTGGTGGGTAGAGTGTTATTCACAGAGAGAGAGGGAAAGGCCCCTGAGGAATGCTACTCACCAGTTGCAAGTGGTGGACTCATTGTCTGAGCAGGGGTTGATTTGTTTAGACTCTGCAGGTGGTGGTGGAGGTCGGGGAGGTGTACTGTGAGCTACTGCCGTTGATTCTGTCAATAGAGCAGAGCATAGGTCAAATAGTTTCCAGAGAAGATGGCTTGACAAGAAGAGAAATCACATTTACAGATCAACACTGATTAAGCTGTAAAATGTTACCTACATTGAGGACATTTGAGGGTGTGGTTTTATCCACTTATCCATAAACACATATACTACTGTACCAAGTGGAGTGTAAATGTATTTGTGATAGGTCCACAGGTCAACTTACTTGACACAGGTGTCCCTGGAGGCTGCATAACAATGGAAACAGATGAGCACTCTCCGGACGGCACTTTGTTTGAGGTGTCAGGTGGAGGGACATATTCTACCACCTTGATGCCGATCAGTGAATTAGGTCCGTATGACTGAGCTTCCACAGTAATCAAACCTATCAGCAAATCTGTGGGGCAAAAAAACAGAATGAAGTATAAGAAGTTAACTTAAGAGCATTTATCGATACACATGACAGACTAATCTCCATTTGACGTCAACAATGGCACCCTTCCTCTCCACCATCGATCTGATATAAAGTTACCACTAACACAAATTTCTCCCTAACAAATAGACTACTTGTAGCATGAGAAGAGAATCACAGAATCACACTAAAATAAATCCTCAAAGTTAGTGTATAACCACCTAGATCCACTTTGAACAGCATTTCAGTGATATTACAGCATATAGAGACTAATGTCAAGGAAAGCTGAAAGCAATGCAGGTCACAGATGATTTGTGAAACAAAGGAACATAGGTTGGACACTGACCAGATTACAACCATCTGAATCTGAGATTTCACAATACTGACACCAGATCCTGACAGACTCTAAACAAAAACAATGAACAACCACACGGCCATCATTGTCCAAAACCAGGTTGAAACGAGCAGCACTTACCGACAGCACTCTTGACTGCAGCAATACGAGTTGTGGTCTGTTCCCCCCAGTTCAGACAGCTGGTACAGAGTCTCCAGAGTGTGTACAATTAACTGGATGTCGTGGATTGTAAGGAGGCGACAAACATCCTCGTATGTGCTGCTCTGTAGACGATCGGACACTATCACTTCGTTCTCCTCCAGCTGACACAGTTTGCCAAGGATCTCCAGAGCTGAAACACATCAGGGGTCAAAGCTAAAGGACAAGACATGAGTAAGTTATGGCCAAAACATGAACCCATGTTAACAGGAGACACTTTCAAGAAGCTACTTCAGCTGCAATAACAGTCCTCATATCTAATGTCTTGATCCATTTCACTCACTAGCTTCTTCAATTTCTTTCTAAATGCATCTACATTTGTTCAATGCATCATATGAAACTAGTCTCATAGAAATAATGAACCTTCAAAAGTCCTTAATATAAATTTTGTCCATCAGCATCTGTACATGTTTTTACCTCTCACAACAAAGAATTTGTCCTCTGAATGTAAGCCTTTCGTTATCAGATCCAAAAGTGCCTTGGAATTTATCTCAGCCATTGCCTTTAGCTTCATCTGCAACAAAGAAAATTCATGTCAGAGTGAGTGAGTCAATCTCAAGTAGTCATCAATAGTCCATCAACAGGTAAATAACGCAAATAAGCCCAGAAATAATAAAAAAACAGGGTATCAACCCAAAATATTTTAATGGAACAAAACTGTACACTCAGGCTTTCTCAGAGAAGCACTTCTGCATGAATTTGCGGACATGGTGTTTTCAGAACTACCACTTAGTGAGCCTGGTATTGTTACATGGGGTTGATGGAATGTAGAGACAGTGTTGACTGTGTCTCTCTTCACAGTGTTTACAGGGTTAACATATATCCAGGCTGTATGACCAGTGTCAGTACTTACCTTTCCTGCTACATTGCCGAGTGTGTCCAGAGCCAGCTGTGCCAAACTTCCATATGAACTATGGATACACAGCATCAGAAATCTGAAACAAGCCAAAATTAAGTAAATACTTCACAATCAAACATATTTTCCTTAACACATACATCCTGCCCTCCTATTTGACCATACAGACAGACACACTGCTATATGACACATACTGGAACTCACATCTTTCATCAAGACAATAAATATGAGGAACCTTCACTCAGCCTGCACAAAGAAAAGCAACAACCCACAACAAACTATCCCAAGTTATTAAACTTAAGTTACATGCAACTTTGGTCATAACTTATTCTTCATTTCCTTATCATACGACACAATTCAAGCAAGAGGTCAGAGGTGCTTATCTTGTGTTTACGTCCTATGCAACACTGACTGGGTTGTGAACTGACCTGAAGATTACCGTATGTCCAGCCAGGTACTCCTGATTTGCCTGTTCAAAGGAGAGGTTCCTGAACAGCACTGCCAGCTGCAACACAAGCACACATGGTGTTACTATGTAGCAAGAAGTTCATGCAAATGTTGACTGTTACAGAAGGTGGGGGTATATCTGTGACCCTGCTGTCTGTACCTACCTGTGTGATTCGCTGACCTTCCTTGTCATAAATGCCCAGATCTCGACCTATGTTTAATATCTCAGACCCACATAGTTTGTCTGCAAAGAAGAAATTAATAATCAGGGTCTGGTCAAAATGTGAAAAATGGATGTCAATGAGGTCAGTGTATGAAATAAGCCAGAAAACCAGCAGGACATCAGGGCTGGTAACTTCAAAATGTTTCCAGTCCAAAATCTATTTAACCAGTCCAGACACCAAGATAGGACTCAGATGTATATAACATCTCAATTTTTTACCCGTCTGAAATCTAACACGTCTCGGGCGGTCGGACGGGCCTTATTTTATACACTGATGAGGTCCAACACGTCTAATACAAGCATGTGACTGAAGACAAAATGGGGCTGAAACAATGTCCTCTCTGCTGAGGAAGGAATAATGGAAAATAAAACACACATCAAAACATCATAATTAAAGGGAAGAAGTATTTCCAACCTAACTTGTAAAAATCATAAGATACATGATGCAAGGAAAATGTATGTTTGAAATCAACTGCAACTAATTCAGTTATATGCGGGATTAATCTTGTGTTTCTATTCTGATATGAAGAACAAAGTCCATAAAGTCCATGTCTGGTTGTAGTCACTCAATCAACGAATAAAAGTTTATATAGCGATCATACTATTGAAAGATATATCATTTCACTCAAAAGAGAGCCTTCTTTTCAAAGCATTCTCATGCCAAACATTGAAAACACCTAACATTAGGGCTTGGAATCTTCCTGCAACAATATATACTTGAATCAGTTACTATCAGTTTGTTGCACTGAAAACATAACATAACCTTTAACAAGTAAACTCACCTCTAACATGCCAACTCACCTCTATCATATACTGCACCATTTGATAATAGAAGTTCTCTCACAGTTTCTTCATGCACAGATTCATACCAAAACTGAAAAAATAGAAATTACATACAAGTCTCAAAAGATCGTCCACAACTGATATTCATGCCTGCTAATACAATTTACTCTGATGGATCGAAATATCATAAGAAAACTGTTCAATTCCTGGGATTACAGAATATACACATTTCATTATTAAATAAATATGTCACATCCTATTAAAGTTAGCTGCTACAGACTTCATGAAATAGATGGATTACAGTTATTGAGTTCAAATATAATTCATGAATAATGAAAGAATAAAACTACTGTTAGTATCTTACAGAAGATTGTGTTTGTCATTTTAACCACAGACATAATGTGATTTGAGTTTAGTTCCCCTGAGAAAGACTAAGAAGGACACAACCTACCCTAAGGTAATCTCTTTTACAATGTTTTGTCCATCCATACTTATAAAGGTCTTCTAAACAACAGGTATCTGAAAAAGAAATATCACCAATGTATTTACAATGACTGACTGACTGACTGAGTTTGGTTTTACGCCGCTTTTAGCAATATTCCAGCAACATCACGTCAGGGGACACCAGAAATGGGCTTCACACATTGTGCCCATGTGGGGATTCGAACCCGGGTCTTGGCGTGGTGAGCGAGCGAACACTTTAACCATTAGGCTACCCCACCGCCTTATATTTACAATGGAACTGGACAGTTGCACAATATATTAACACGAATTAGTTGGGGTAACAGATGTACAATAAGAACACAAAACTGTCAGTGAGAGAGAATAAACATAGATTGGAGTTGGGACCAACTGAGTTATAAGAATATCCTTTCAGGTTTCAGGTTAGTTGTGGGAATCTGTGACACCTGATCTTGATAGTGACATGATTGTTCTATTCAGTGCCCTTTGATGGATTTGTAACCTAAAGCCATCAATAATTGTCCCAGTCAGCATCCAGAATCAAAATCATGTTGAAGAATATCTCCACTCAGTATCACCCTAGCTTAAGCAAAACCCATCCCAGTGACTGCCTTGATATTGACCAAGTTGGCCTACTCTGACCAGGTTGGAACCAAACGTGTTTCCTCATGAGGAACTGATGAATTGTCTAAGTCTGGCTTCTGAGAAGACTACTCCATGTGAGAGAAGACAGAACTTGTTTACTCACATCTATTGAAGTTATCTTAAGCAAGCCAGACTAAGAGGTTCATATCATCTTTGACCTACTTACTATTGACCCACTTGCCCACCTGTTGAACTTGACCTTTCTGTCCAACGGTCCTTCTAGAGTACATATCTGACAGTGGACACTGACAAATGAAGGCCATATGTCAAACCAGAGGATGAACATAAACTCTACTGGTCTATGGTGACAAAATGCGATAAAAATATGATAAGAGTTGCCTTTTTAGCACCAACGACTTGGGATTTGTCAACAACGACTTTGCTCATGGACATGTAATGCAAAGCCTAATATGTACACACTGCCCAAACTATATGCAGTATTCCTAACCTTCCTTTTCAAATGAATTCTCTATCGCATCTGTCAAAACTTTTGTTGTGGAATTGTTCCATTAATTGTGGTGGAAACTGAGCTTCATGGGAAGTCATCTCAGTTATTGAAAGACACAACAGGACATATGACAAGCTATATAATCAACCTCCATCCTAGATCTGGATCAGTGAACACTACCACAAAATGGTGAAAGATTTCAATCTGTGTCGCTTCTGCATAATACCCACCATTCTAATTCACTCATCCATGACATATGCCCCAGTGTTGGTGAGGAGTTAAAATATTCAATAGGTAGTATACCACCTCCATGACACCAGGGATCTCTTATCCCTTAGATGCACAAGCCCCAGTCTTACTGACTCTCGCATCTTCCTACTGGGATAGATACGAGGTCTTACTTGTGATGTGAACTACCAAATATTCTGCCAACACAAATAGCATGCAAAACCTGATTCTGTATGTTCCCAATGATTAGTTGAAAGGAGAGGATGAGCTTTGCAGGAGCTACATCCACAAAACGTGATAATTCTAAGGGATGGTAAAAGTGTTTTGAAGAATTGTTCTTGAAACATGAAGCATGAGTTTGGAAGCATTCACTTCAACTGTAATACAAACTAATTGCTTCAGTTCTGGATTCCTTAAATATTCATACTGTATTCCCTCGCACAGGGAGAAAAGACCTCATGGCCTTCCCGAAATGTTTATGTGCTGAACACTAACAGCTAGGAAAGAACACCATAACATTATCACACTTAAAATGCAGATCCATCGCTCATCGACGATACCACATGGTGGCTCTGTTAACCCTTCAGACTGACTCCACTGAAAGTCATATTTTACTCGGGAATAATTTCAATTTTCTATTTTTCACTTGTACATGGAATTTTAAATATTGAAGTGGAAGAATATCTATTTATATATGAAGTCATAATGAAATTTCATCTCAAGATACTTGCTTCCAGTAATATTCAGTCTGCTCCCAAGAGGTCAGTATATTGCATGATGTAGATAGGAAACCAGTGTGGACAGAATATTAGAGCATGTGGTCAAGAAACCAGTATATTACAGCATGTGGAAAGGAAACCAGTATATTGCAGTATGTGGATAGGAAACCAGTATGTTGCAGCATGTGGATAGGAAACCAGTATATTACAGTATGTGCATAGGAAACCAGTATGTTGCAGCATATGTGGATAGGAAACCAGTATGTTGATGAGAAACCAGTATATTACAGTATGTGGATAGGAAACCAGTATGTTGATATGAGAAACCAGTATATTGCAGTATGTGGATAGGAAACCAGTATGTTGCAGCATGTGGATAGGAAACCAGTATGTTACAGCATGAGATAGGAAACCAGTATGTTGATGAGAAACCAGTATATTACAGCATGTGGATAGGAAACCAGTATATTGCAGTATGTGGATAGGAAACCAGTATGTTGCAGCATGTGGATAGGAAACCAGTATATTACAGTATGTGGATAGGAAACCAGTATGTTGCAGCATGTGGATAGGAAACCAGTATATTACAGGATAGGAAAGCATGTGGATAGGAAACCAGTACATTGCAACATGTGAATAGGAAACCAGTATATTGCTGTATGAGGAAGGAAAACCAGCAGGTATATTACAGCATGTGGATAGAAAACCAGTACATTACTGCATGTCAATAGGAAGCCAGTATATAACAGCATGTGGATAGGAAACCAGTACATTGCAGCATGTGGAAGTACATTACTGCATGTGGATAGGAAACCAGTATATTACAGCATGTGGATAGGAAACCAGTATATTGCTGTATGAGGAAGGAAAACCAGCATGTGGATAGAAAACCAGTACATTACTGCATGTCAATAGGAAGCCAGTATATAACAGCATGTGGATAGGAAACCAGTACATTGCAGTATGAGGAAGGAAAACCAGCATGTATATTACAACATGAGGATTGAAACCAGTACATTACTGCATGTGAATAGGAAGCCAGTATATTACAGCATGTGGATAGGAACCCAGTACATTGCTGCATGTGAATAGGAAGCCAGTATATTACAGCATGTGGATAGGAAACCAGTATATTGCAGTACTAGGAAGGAAAACCAGCATGTATAATACAGCATATGGATAGGAAGCCAGTATATTACAGCATGTGGATAGGAAGCCAGTATATTACAGCACTTGGATAGGAAACCAGTATATTGCAGCATGTGGATAGGAAACCAGTATATTGCAGTTTGAGGAAGGAAAACCAGCATGTATAATACAGCATGTGGATAGGAAACCAGTATATTACAGCATGTGGATAGGAAACCAGCATATATACATAATGCATGTGGATAGGAAAACCAGTATATTACAGTATGTGGATAGGAAACCAGTATATTACAGCATGTGGATAGGAAACCAGTATATTACAGCATGTGGATAGGAAAACCCAGCATATTACAGCATGTGGATAGGAAACCAGTATATTACAGCATGTGGATAGGAAACCAGTATATTACAGCATGTGGATAGGAAACCAGTATATTACAGCATGTGGATAGGAAACCAGTATATTACAGCATGTGGATAGGAAACCAGTATATTACAGCATGTGGATAGGAAACCAGTATATTACAGCATGTGGATAGGAAACCAGTATATTACAGCATGTGGATAGGAAACCAGTATATTACAGCATGTGGATAGGAAACCAGCATATATTACAGCATGTGGATAGGAAACCAGCATGTATATTACAGCATGTGGATAGGAAACCAGTATATTACAGCATGTGGATAGGAAACCAGTATATTACAGCATGTGGATAGGAAGCCAGTATATTACAGCATGTGGATAGGAAGCCAGTATATTACAGCATGTGGATAGGAAACCAGTATATTACAGCATTACACATGTGGATAGGAAACCAGTATATTACAGCATGTGGATAGGAAACCAGTATATTACAGCATGTGGATAGGAAGCCAGTATATTACAGCATGTGGATAGGAAGCCAGTATATTACAGCATGTGGATAGGAAACCAGTATATTACAGCATGTGGATAGGAAGCCAGTATATTACAGCATGTGGATAGGAAACCAGTATATTACAGCATGTGGATAGGAAGCCAGTATATTACAGCATGTGGATAGGAAGCCAGTTAACAACATGGGCAATGATACTCATCACGAGGACAGGGATTTACATAGAATTTGAAAAATAGGAGACACACAGACTCACAGAAATTGTTTTTGGAAGTCATTTTCTAATTTTTTGAGTCATGAAAATATTTTGTCAGTAAAACAATTCTAATATTAATTCTTAAAGTAGCAAGACCTGAAGAAATAGCACATTGTTTTTCTGATTTCCTGTTTGCAGTATGAAATTGCTTATTGTATCTATTGGAGCTATTTGGCTTCCCGGTTCACTTACTTGAATTTTTTTATTGCATCAGCTACGACTTATATGAAAATATATTGGGAGTAGTTTACAAAATTGTTGGAACAAACACTCAGGAATTATGTATGATGTAAAACCCTGATGAGAATAGGATATGTTCTTTCAAATGTTTGGTCAAGGGACACAAATCGTCACAGCTTGGTAATTGAAGTAAAAAAGGATAGCCTGCAGATATGTTTTGTGTGAACATATCTGTGGATAATGAAGAGTATAGGCTGGGTTCTAACAGCCCTTGTATAATTGTCTCAGTTACATCTAAGCATGTCACTTTGTCAAGATAGTGAAGTATTTGTACATATCAGTTTAGAGAAAGTCACCAGCACATGTGTGCTTACCATGGATACTACCAGGCTAGTTCGTGATAGGACACCATGACCGGGGGAGACAACAAGGTGTCAAGTCAATGAATGTACAATAACAGAGTAATGCTTGAGTAACAGACACTAACCTCAATCAAATTTCTTTGTGTCCATTGCTATATTCTAACAATGTATCAATCTTGAAATGTATGCAAAC